TTGTGATCAAGCTACCTTGCGTTGTTTATGTAAAAAAACAGAAAAAATGCAATTTATAATTTTCTCTGTGATAATTTGATCTTTTATTATATAAACTTAATCTGTATTATATATTTTTTTTATTTATGATATATTTTCTCCAAGTCTTTTTATATTGTATAAATATATTTTTATCGAACGGTTTAAAATGGAAAATAAATCAACATCATGTACGTCGAATCAAGAACGACATGTAAAGAGTGCCGCTGTAGTTTTCAACTGCTGGACGAAATCTTTCTTCTGCATGATGCTGTTCTCTGTACATCATTGTGCTACACAAGATACACAGACATTCACACAAGTAGTACATTTGGAATGCATTTCCGAAACGTATAAGCTCAACGTCCGCAGCATCTTCGATTTTATTGAGACGAAAGTATAAATATGACGGTCTATAGTTGATCAATCGATTGCCTCCTCAAAATCATCGTATACGTATGCGAAGGCTTCGTGTAGAGTTAAGCGTAGGCGAACGGATTTTCAGATTATGCGCTTTATCCACGACGGGAAACGAACGTGACAAACGGAAAACAAGCTCGGGGAAATTCGCGAGATATCCGAGCGTTTTTCGGCAATGTCATTAGTCGACGTTTAAAATTCGCACCGGGGAAGCATTGGTCATACAGTACGTTAATAGAAGATAAATTATATAGAGCACGATAGTGCGCGATTTATCGCGAGATATATATATATATATATACATATACATATATAATGTGTGTATAAAGTCCCCTATATTTCAGTGTTCCGAAATTAGTAGAGAAAGAGAGCAATGATGGACATTAATGATTAGGTCAAATTAACGTAGTTTCTAAAATATATAAATATAAGAAAACTAATCTGTTCTTTGTTTCACGTTTGATGGGGAAAGTCGAAGATCTCATTCTTTCGTGAGGAACAGTGTATCTCGAATCGAGTCTCTTGTGGCGTATCGATAAATTCATTTCTAATTCATTCAAGAAGAAGAAACTGACTGTTAAGATATGTGACAGTTTAAGAATATTTTACAACATTCCATTTTATTATATCATACAGTTACGCCTAAATAAAGAGAATAGTGTTATAAGTTGTAAAAACTAAATACTTCAAGAAAAAAAATAACAAAGAGAGAGAGACAAGAATAATAAGCATACATTCCTTATTTATATTTCTCGATATTAATAGAAGAAAAATAATTAATAATAATTAATGTTTTACGAAAATAAATAATAATCGCACGCTTTTGTACTTAATATTTAAACTTCGACTGTGATAAAAATCAAATGCAAAAGATAATTATAAATTTTATTTTTTGAGTATCGATTAAGGATTTAGCGATACGCCGCAAATAATTCTGCACGATGAGAAAAGTCGCAAAGAAGATTCGAAAAGCATCGACTTTCTTCGATTTTCTGTAGGCTCTAGAAGTATTATAAGAACCGTTTATTAACGACGATAAAATGACAAATCAAACTTGATATTTTCTCTCTCAATTATTAGTATTTTAGAAACTTCATGCAGACATTCCTGCAGATATGGAACGATATTAAAAAAAATATTCGCAATATGCAACAATAATATTTTTCCAAAGTGAAATACAACAGCTATTTTCATGGAATATCGCCGACAACAATAACGCGGTCGTAGCTCTTAATTATCGTCATTATTTATTGTGATTCATATTTATCTTTCTAAATTGGATTCAATGTTTCTTCGTGCGACAAGAAATTTTTCTCTTGAAAATTCTTGTTTTCTTTTTTTTTATTTATCAAGCTCGTCGCTTGGCGAGTGAATCACACGCAGTGATAACGATTCACCTTTTTCCGGCGTGATCGTACTGTGTAATTGACGATGAAGAATTAAAATACGGGCGCGAAGATTTACGACAACATTATTTGAGGGAGTGTGTGTGTGTGAGAGAGAGAAAGAGAGAGAGAGTTTTTTTCGAATCGCCTGTAGGATGATTAAAAGTTTTTTAGAAACGAGTACGAAGTCAATTGTTCATATGATTAACGTGCAACAAAAAAAAAAAACGATCGCGCCTTTCGACCATAGTCAATCGAAATCGTCGATACGTTGTAATTAAGTCAGGGCGAGAAAATCACTCGAGCTAATTTCATTCACACGCGTAAGCAGCGATGTGGACACTTAAATAAATAAATAAATATATATATATATATATATATATATATATGTATATATATGTATATGTATATATATGTATATGTATATATATATGTATATGTATAAACATATATACATATATATACACACACACGTACAGGTCATACTCGTAATACACATATATGCGAAGAGAGGGAGATTATAATAAATAGCAGAAATTATATAGAGAAAACATTAAGAATAATAAATTTTATCGTCGCCCAGGTAAGTCGGTAGTTTCGCGAGATGTATAGCAAGAAAAGTATAATAATTAAGAAAAAAAAGAGAGACTTATGTGGATATATATCCTCGACGGGCCGTGCATTGCGCGTCGCTTTCTTCCATCCGGAAAATTCCGCAGGACCAGCCTCGAGAGATCGTTAACTGAGAATTCTCGAGAAACGGAAAGTATCACAAATCAAATTGCTGCATTTTTTATAAAATGAGAAAATACATGTAGGATTCAATTCATGCAGTCGATTTTTGCGAAAACCGATTGCGATCTTATTATGATGACGGATTTAATTCTCATAATCCGGATTCGACGCGCACGTCGCGGTCCGTGCATTTGATTTTTCGTTGATACTTAAGAGTATACCGCCCACATACGTGAATTTTCCAAGACACGCCGTTAAATCGAGAGAAAGCGAACAATGCAGACGAGCGTGGTTCATCCGATCATTAATGAGAGACTATGTCGCGGACATTTTCTTTCTTTAACATACAACAGTTCCGTATACAAATAAAATAAGAAATATGTGACACCTCGCAATGGATGTCGAGAGAATTTAATACAAATTTAAATTGTAGTGGAATGGATAACTATAAATTAAAGAAGAAATTTTTTTCTCCTCGAATTTGTTCGTTCACGAGATTCTAAATGGAACAAGTGAACGAAATGACTTTCTAAGGATACTTCCACTGTTGGGAGTCATCAAGAAGTTGAGGATCAATATATTAAAATGATTAAGGGAAATGGCACAGGTGATTGTTTCAAATCTCAATTAGAGAAATTGTAATTGTTTCAATACTGCTCACGCATAACTTTAAGTAAATATTTTATCTATTGCAAACAAAAAGAAAAATATTCCGATTATTGCTATGTACAGTGATGAAAAAAATGTGTGAAATGAATCACGATAAAATATTCAATAGTAATTTATGTCTATTTCGTTTTCGGTACAATTTTTGCTCCAATTGACATATAAATCAAGAAGTATAAAAGAATCACTTTGAAAGCTGCACTGATTAATAAAATTAGCTAGATTGCAAATTTTATTGACCTGTGCAACTTTCAAAGTTTACGAATATCGACGGAAATACAGCATAAGCAGCGTCCACAGGTACAAATATGTATCCGTCAAAAATAATGAACTAAATATACTTTGACATACACTTCTAATTTAAATATGTATTGAACATTACATTCACTGATGTAGCATATCGGAAGAGAGAAAAGGGGGCAAGGAAAATAGATAGAAACCGAGGAGATTGTGAACAGGTAGTAAGTAAAAAAAAAAAAGAAAAGTATGCGCGCGACGAGGATCGGATGGTATTGATCATCCGCACTTCTCAAAGTCAATGCGTTTGACGTCTAGAACAAGTGTGTTATATATAAATATGAACATTATAAATATATATATTAAAATTTAGATTTATATATATATAAATATATATATGTAAAAGAGAATGTTATGTATAGAGAGAAACGGCAACAGGACGAGGCCTGTAAAGGCACAGAAAGAGGGAGAGAGAGATATCGATTATATTATTACAACTCTTTCTTGACACGAACGTTGCTATTAATATACTTTTATTGTATTATTATCGTTATATTATTACTGTCATTATAACTTTATTATTCTCTCGAGCGAGATCAAGTAGAATCGACAATCTTATAGCTGCCTGTCACTTTCGTTGTCCGGATGAACATTGCGATTACGCCACCATCACGACAAGCGTGACAAGTGGTTAACATGCGCGAAACGCGGATATAGTTGCAATATCGATCAGCTGTAATTAATTTCGAGTGTGCGCAGAATTCCTTGAGATTTGTCCTGTCGTGATGATGAATTATTACATCCACTTCGAGCTTAAATCGTCCATACAATGGCAGTCGCGTGGCTGCATAATTGTATGACTACAACAGTTCTTCTCGATACAATTATCGAATAAATCGGATCAGTCAAAAAAATAAAATCTTCTGATTAACGCATTAGTCATCTGACATCTAGCAAGCCAGTTGCCGGTGCATTGCGTTTTCAAATAAATATCCTTCGAGCATCTGCTTTACTCAGATTAATTTCAGTCAAAGTGATTCAGAATTCGAGGTAAACTTTGAAGTGAAATTTTATTTTTCGATATTGTCTTGTCTGTGAAATTTTCTGAATGTAATTGAGATGTTGGGAGTATGATTTGTTCTGACTGACACATATCGTGTATGCACAATCTAGAGTTACGTATTTGATGATTTTATCATCGAATCTTATATTAACTGTCAATTCTCCCTGATAGGTTTTCATCATTCGCGACTGTAAGAAGCTGCGATTTTTTTAAGGATTTTACTGTTTAGTATTTTTTTATCTCATTTACATATATAACTTAGTATTACTTTACGCGCCAGTTTAAGTATTATAAGTATTTCCACTAGTGTGACAGGTGACGATGGCGGCGACGGCGACGATGATGCTGATTTTAATTATCTTTATCTTTAGTATCGATTATTATATACGCGTATATCATACTCCGTTGTGTATTGTCCGACAACATCCCGCATTATTTTGTAAAGAAGAATAAAAATATCTTGACACATAAAAAAATGTAAGAAAAAGAAAACGATTTAATCTGTTTATTTCGTCTGAGATTTTATTCCAGATTTTTCATTCCATGAAAATCGCCGCATCTCTCCCAAGGTATGTATTCTATCGTATTCACAGAATGTTGTAAACGACATAATGAAGGAACGGTGATTCGTATCTGATGAAACTCGAATGCGACGAACTCAGCGGAATTACACTCGATGGCGCAATCGCATTGACAACTGGTTCATTCGCTCGTTGCTTCTGTTGTTCCTTCTCTGGCGTTACTGCTACTTGATTGCCAGAAATTGCCGTGCTCTTCAAAATCGTCGCCGCTGGCGTGATCGCGCCGGAAGTGCCTGCGGGGAAAAGCCGACAATTATTTTCGATTCACGATAATTCAATAACAATCTAGCATCACGCTTATAATTTACTACAATTTGCCAGCTCGATCTTGTTGATTGGCAAGATCAATTTATAAGATTATCAACGAGCGAGTTTGCGAACCGGTTGCGATCCGGTAAGGACGACCTCAGATCGAATTCTCTATTCCGGAAATACGACGACCTTCGAAAGAAAAAATCTTTTGATAAAAAGGAAAGAATCTTAATTAAAGATATTCTCTACATATGTATATATATATATATATATATATATATATATATATATATATATATATATATATATAGAAAGTCTCGTCGTGTTCAATCTTCAAATTAATCTAATCCTAATTATTCTGATCACGGGATAATCAAAATAGTTATACAGCAAATCGAGTCAAACGATTACGTGAGAATCTGAATGTTTATCAAAAAATATAATTCACGATAATCTAACATCTAGTACAAGCAGCAAAGGGAAAATTAAATAAGTAAATTATAATCCTAGACCTTGAATCGGTGTCTCTGGTATGGAGGAAGGCTCGATCTCATGGCTTCCATGAGAGATGCGGAATATCGGCACTGCATTTCCGCCCGATATTTGAGGTAACACGCGAGAGGAAATTAATGGAATCGCTGGGATGTTTGCACCATTGACAATTTCCTCCGTCACTCTTCCGGAGGATTCCTGTTGACCATTTAAAAAAAAACCCGATGAGGAATTTCGAGACGGAAATATTTCGTGAAATTTCGAAACGCTGACAGAGTTATTCCATTAGTTATCTCGTTCAAGAATTTACAAATTTTATATAAATAAACTGATTTTTTTCTATTAAATATTATCCAAAAATTTATAGAAAAATAAGGATTTGAACTTTTTTCTAATTCAATGTTCAAATATAGTTAAATAAGTATTTTAAAAGAAGAATTATGAGAGATTTTAGAAATTCGAATAAATAATTAATATTAGGATGTAATTCGCGTAACAATATTATCGCTTTTACAAAAACAATTTTTTAGAAATTAGTAAGAATTATTTTTTTATCATTAATATACCTCACGGATCTCCTGCGAGTTCTTGTCGCTCGCTTTATCGATTCCGCTTCTGGAAGCAACCGCTTGCAAACTCTCCTCGTTATTCTTTTCCTCGATCTTCTTCGCGTTGTCTTGAACTTTCTTGGCTTCCAATTGTTCTTGCGTTTTGCTGACACTCGCGTCACCTTGATTGCCCTCGGACTTTCTTTCCTGCGCATTCTCCTGACTCTGAGCCTGTTCATTCCTTCGCGTCGCCAGTTCCAGGGCTTGAAGGTGCGCCGTGCGTGCGGCCATCACTTCCGGCGTGTCCTGAACCGGAAGCGGTGCCTGCGGAAGATTCGTGGCGAACACCCGGAACCCGTTCTCGCTGTCGGCGACATATTGCGCGGTCTGGATCACACCGGTTTCGTCGACGTAGCTGTAAGTGCCTCTGGTCGCGCCGTTGGATGTCCTGACCTCCGACCTGGCCGATCCTGGTGCGCTATAGCCGAAACTGTACTGGCCCAGGCTGTCCTGATAGCCAAGGAACACCGTCGGCTTGGCAAAGCCGGCGGCGATTAAGCAGTGGACAAGAAAAAGCTGAAAACGTACGTCAGATTAGTTTATGATTATAATTTATAGAGATTTGCATGACTAATCCTATTGTAGTTTGTAGGTTCCCTTCTTTATCGCTGACTTGTGGGAGATTGTGTAGAATTATAGATTAACATTATCGATGAATATCAGCGATTTACTTCAACAATGGCATAAATCGAATCCTTGTCTGACATAAATTTGTTATGTCAAATTCCAACATTTATGCTTAGGTCTTTAAAATAAAAATGTTTTTGTGCAATTTTAATTCCTCTCGTACGTATTAGATCATCACTGTATTAATTATATAACAATCTAGTAATATAAATAAAATATAAAATATCCCGATATAAAAAGCTCCGTATTAAACATGCTCTTGTTAAACAGGCTTTTCTATTGAGATGAAACTTGCACGACACAAGAGAAGAAAAGCGAATCTCCTCCGCCAAGTAATTTATACCACGAACGATTTTTGTGTTAGAGATAATCCTGCAATCGTACAACCCACGTAAGACCACCAACGCAATGCGGATCTCAAAAACGATCGGTCTTCCCACACACAAAATCGGCAGGAGACGAGCACTTACGGACGCGGTCTTCATGGCGGTTTCACGGACGACACGTCGATTGTGTATCCTCGATTCCGACATGCAGCCAGGACACCTTTATATACGCGATAGCGTGCGACCAACCACGCCCTGAGGCGACGCATAATCCTCTTCCTTCCCTCGCGAAGAAAAATTTGTGAAGCCGACGAAGACCACGAACGTGGCGAAAACTGGTCGCGCGAGTGTCTTCGAGGTCGCGATCGCCGGAATCCGGCTTCGCGACAGAGAGATGCCTGGTGTCCATCAGACGCCTTTTTTCCGAGCCAGGATCCGCCTCGCTCTACGTCTCGCTACCGTCAAGGTCGCGCGTAATCTTGCGATCGTTATCGCCGGGAAAGGGCAGATATTGAGTTGAATCGTGAAAAGGAGGATTATTAGGGATGCTAATTTATCGCCCGTTTACGTCCTCTCGATCGGTCGCTTAGGGGTGCAGAGTCTCTCGACTGGTTCGCGAGAATCGGTTAAGTCTGCGGAGATCTTACAGAGACTGCGAAATGAGATGCGGAATATTTTATTATCGTATTGCTATTTGAGTTTTGTCGAGACGAGTCGAATAGTTCAGCTGTAAAATACATGCAGGAGATAAAATTTATTTTATATTCATTATAAGTAACAATTCTTTTACAATTTTTTACGCGATATAATAGTTTTGTGTAAATATACTTTCTGTTTTTGTAAATCTAACTTAACTAGAAAATAATTGTTCTATGAATAAGGGATAGATAAATAGTCTATTCTTATTCTCTCTATCGCATCTCTCATTCTTTTTGTCGAATAGAAGCATTTTTTTACATTTTAAATTTTATTATGTAATTTGTTATTATTATATAAAACTTCTATGCTAAAATAACTCAGCAGAATTTATATTGATATATTAATTCATCTTTAATTATGTGCATAATAATATTAATTCATTTTTAAATTAAATTATGAAGACAAAATCTTGCTGTAATCATATCTCTTTTTCTTTTTAACAAAAAAGTAAATTTTTTAATAAACTTTTTTCTTATTAATAAACATACATATATCAAATAAGATGCTACGATAGATCGTTTCATAAAAAATAATGCAACAAGAAAGAGATAGAAGAGAGTAACTGCATAATCCACTACTATTTGACATGCTATTATTCGACATATAATAAGCTATAAGATATATCTTCTCCAAAAGGCTTCGGATAAATCCCTCCTCTTAATAAATCAATCTGCCATAAGCGAGACCTGGGCCTGCGATCGCCAGAGCATCCAGAGACCTCACGTCGTTCACCGGACTCTGATCGTTGTGAGTCACCACCGTTTTTGATACATCCAGAGGCTTGCCATCGAGACCAACGGGTACTAGAGCGGCGACGACGCCGTTGCTGAGCACTAATGGTACCGCGGAACCTTCCACAAGTCGCGCGAGAACGTCGCCAGCTTCCAGGTTGATCTTCTGGTTGACGCGCGCAACTTTCGATGTACTTAGAACTTTGCTGTCGGGACTGATCGCCTCTTCGGTAAGGATCTTATCCCTGGTTTCCGACGAATCTAACGCGCTACCGGATCTCGCAGCTTCGTTCGCCAGGTTGATCTTCTCGTTGGCGTGCGCAGCCGCGTGGGCTGCTTTGGCTACCGCGACTTCCGGCGTGTCCACGACCCTGCCGTCGACGCCGAGTGGCGCGTTGACGACTTGGGACGATTCTCGTTCACGCGGTCCAATCGATTCCTCAGCCTCGTTTGCCAAATTTGTCCTTCTCTCGTCGAAATGCGCGGCAGCCGAATCCTTCAGCCTGTCCAACACCTGTCCAGGACTGATACCAGGTGTCAAAGGTGTTGCGTATGTCAGCGGTACGGGTAGAAGCGCGGGCTTGGCCGAGACCAGGCTGATCAGGCCCAGCATCGCGATCGCGAAGCATCTCATCTCTCGCGGTATCCAAAACACTGGAATTGTGACGATCTTATTTAACGCAATTGATGATGAAGACAGTGCAATGTGACGCAAGATGCACTCGATGCATGTTGCTGCGATTGCTTTTATAGCCCTCTTAGATCATGTAATAGGAACGATTGCGGATCGGCGCGAAGGGAGAAGACCTAGAATCGCCGGAGAAACGGAAGGTTATATGTGGTATCAGCCACTTCCGTTTCGCTGGAGCAAGGTAAGCCTGTTTGTAAAGCGAGAGCTTTACAACAGCGGGATGGCGGGAGACGACGACGGGATGAAACAGAGAGGGATTTTCTTTCTTACGAGGTCGGGAAGACACACGATCCCGTTTTCATTTCTCCGCCAGATCGGCCACGATCGACAAGGTCGTGTTTGCTACGTAAAATCGATCGCGTAATCAATGTTAGAAGCAGGTTTAGTGTTGTTTTTGCTCGATTAGGTAAGGATGCCTTTCTACCTGTCTACTTATCTGTTTACCGTATTATTCAATTCTTAATTAGCTCGATATGAAGACAAATTCGTCAATCTTTTTACATTTTTTGTATTTTATGAAAACTTGTTAATTAATCTAGTATTAATCTATATTTATCTAGAATTAATCTATATTTATAAAATTCACATTTTTTTGGATAAATATAAAAAGTAAAATTGTGAAGCGTTCAAATAATAATAATTTAGAGTATTTTTTATAAAGTTAAAATTTATCTTTTATATGTGAAAAATTAAGTCATTTCATAATTTATTGATAATTAATATTTAAATAATTTCTTTCTTTTGAAAAAAACAAATTTTTAAAATAATTGATACTTATATGCGTATAACATATTTTATAATAATATCTTTAGTGCTGAAAATGATTATATGATAATTGAACATTTTTCCAAGTTTCGGTTCCAAATTGAATTGTCATGGAACTTTTAATTGTTTATCACTGATATTTTATTTCACGATATAAATCTCTTAAATAAGAAATTCTCTCTTCAGTAAATGGTTACGTAGTAGACCTCAAAAATAAAAGAATTATATATTTACGTCAATGATTAAATTCGAAACGTATAAAGGAATTGACAAATAAGCGACGTCAAAAAAAGCGAGCATGCCAAATCGATCGTTTCTACGCAGATTCGATCGATCTAGTTGAAAGGAGGGGGACCAATTTAGGTGAACGTCTTGAGGGTCGCGAGTGCCGACAAAGGTGGACGCTAATCGCGATTACACGAACCAGAGCGAGACATCGACGTCAATGTCAGATGTGTATTACACCGATTGGCATATGTATTGCCGATGGACGTATCCTGGTTACACGCGTTCGGCACAAAGTCTCTTTTTCCGACGAGGTATATAAAGCGGCATTGGACAGGGTGCAGGGCATATTATCCGAGCACCTTGGCGAGTACTGATCATCGGTAGCGTTAAAAAGGAGCTAAGCGATTTCGTTCAAGATGAAGGTTCTCGTAAGTATTAATCGAAGATTCAAATTTTGAAAACATTGTGATATATTTTCTTAAAATTGTATATCGTCGTGCTTATATATATGATAAAAATAAAGAGACGATTGATAGAAGATTAATATTTTTTTAATGTCTTTCTCTCTCTCTCTCTCTTTTCTTCTATTTTCTTTTATCTAAAATAATTAATTATTACGTGACTAGATTGTATTCTTCTTGCGATAAATCAAACACACATTAATCAACTATAAATTAAATTAAATTTATTTATTAATTAATTTTTTAATATGTACAGTATATTTGTGTTAAACAGTGATTAAATAATTCTTTCTCAGAACTTTACTAAATAAATACAAAAGATCTAAAAAGAAAAGCTTACTATAAAAAATTGTATATTAATTACATATTAAAATTGTACATTAATATTTAAAAAAATCTCTCTATCTCTCACACACATTTTTCAGATCGTTCTTTCCGCCGTTTTGGCTTGCGCCCTCGCTAGTTCGTCACTGATTTACGCCAAGCTGATACCCGGGGCACCGATCGGCCTAGATGGCCGGGTAGTGGACACCGCGGAAGTATCGTTGGCCAAGGCCGAGCACGCAGCCGCTCACATCAACGAGAGAATCAATCTGGCTCAGGAAGCCGCCAAATCGGCCGACGTGCTCGCTTACGTCGCGCCGGCGAACGTGGCCGTGATCGGCAGAGCCCAGGTGGTGGAACCGGTCGCGGTGGCGACGAAACCGGTGGCCGGGGCGCCGATCGGACTCGACGGGCGTGTCGTGGACACGCCGGAAGTGGCCCTCGCCAAGGCGGAACACGCAGCGGCGCACATCAACGCGAAACTCGGCCACGAGACCGCGAGATCGGTCGCTCACGAACAACCACTCGTAATCCTGCACAGTGCGCCGCTCGCTCATCTCTATATTAATTAAATTAATCTCCTTATAATAATGCACAATAACCTTGGAATGCAAATAAAGTTGGGCAATCTTGGCATGGCATAATTGATCTTTTTATTTCAATTATCGTTATCCTTTTATGTGTTAGTGGTTAAAATAAAAGTTCTTATTTTCAATCCTTTTATACGTTGAAAAATTAGATTTTTTAAAGACGTCCTTGGAATTTGCTTTAACATTCAGGAAGAACATATCGGAACTAATATATACTTTGCTACAAAATATTCTAATTTATTTCTTATAATATCGCTAATTATAAAGCAAATATATTTCGCTTTCAATGTTTACATCGAAATTTGCAAAGATGCGATGTAGTTATATAGAGAAGTGCGAATCTGTATTGTAACATATGCAGTATCTTATACAGAGAATGATGAAAGATTATTAAAGAACATTTTATTACAATTATACTTCAGAATGTTTGAAGAAAATTATTATAATTTAATTTTTAAAGAAATATTATTAAAAATAATCCTTATTCTTTTTTATTGAACATATAATTATATGTATAAATTGCAAAATTATTATGATAAATATATGTTTCTAAAATTTAAAACTTTCTACGCATTTATTTCGCAAACAAACATTCATTTTCTCTTTATCGAATTATATAATGAAACTGTATATAATAATTTGGTGCCCACACACGAGGAATGCATACCTGATTAGACATTTAAATATTTATTACAAATAAAGTGCAGAATTTTTTTATACCCCACGGATCTTGTAATCGTTTGCGAATAACTTATGCAAAGCTGTCAAAATGATAAAGTAACGCCATTAAAGAAATGACTTCTTAATCTCAGAAAAGATCGATTGTTTGCACCATAAAGCGTCGTAATAATCCATTCACGAAATGCAATCATTTCGAAATGTGTCTTTTACAGACTTAACAAGAGAAGTCGTTGTGCGTGAAAAATTATTATTAATGCGCTCCTCATTTTTACAAGCTTTTTATTTAGTCTCATCGATCTTTCATATCTGTATCTATCACATTAACCATCGAATTAATATTACAGCGGTTCTTGTAATCACTTATGTTGTCATTATGTTATCAAGTACATGTAATCTCGTTAACAATAATGACATATCAGAGAAACGATGATGACAACGATAATAGACTTATTGAGCATTTTTCGGCCATTTTTCTAATGATTGATTTCTTAGGTCCTTATACAAATGCTACATATAACATTGGCTGGTATCCTTTTCGTGTGCAATCAATGAATTTTTCGCGGGAATTATCGAAAAAAGTACCGCCGCTCGATTTTCTCGGTATTATATATGTTATTACACGTACGTTATTACACATGGCTTCCTTTTCCTTTTCTTACTTAACGATTACGCGACACTCGCGTTTCACTGATTGTGAATCGTACAATGCGAAATTTGCCCAATCGAAGACAGCAAAAATATCCTATTCGCTTTGCGACAAGATTTGCGCTGATATCGGTGACTATCCCGCGTAATAGTCGCACTGTCACTTTCGTAACATTGATATTTCTCCCTCGTCAGGGGTGGTCGCAACAGATCACTGGTCGATCCGATCGAGCGCGATGATGCAGATTGATAAGCCGAGTGATAGTGAAGTAACGGCGGGTGTTAATGAGCGAAACGACGAGGAAAGGCGCGGCCTTTCTCGTACGATGACAGTAACATGTCACCTTACTTGCTCGCATTTACTTGGTGCACTTTGTAACGCAAGTTATTATGTGGGGCGATGTCAAAGGTGTTTACACGACACACCTCTTGCATACGTCGTGCTCTGATCTATTCAATACATATTCGATATATATCGAAGCATCGATATACGCATATGGCATTATAAAAAATATTAAAATTATCTCTGGATACACCTTTGAAAATCTATTGAAGTATTTAAACTGAAATGAAAACAAAAATGAAATTAAAACACTTCAACTTGAAAGATTGTAATTAATAAAAATAGCGAATCATTTATATGCGAAATATTTATATGACGAATATGTTTGAAGACATATGTATAAATTTATAAATTGCCGTAAGATCCGTATATGCTATAAATGTACTATAGCAATGCGTTTTGTATCATTGAAATGCATTCTCAATTCACTTTGTCCTTCGACTTTCAGTCCTTCGAGTTTGTTCAGGGCTGGTAAGTCGTTTAGCGTTCACGCCTTTGTTGTTTCTCAACATCGAGATCCATTCTATCAGTGGGCGCGATTTAATCAGGCTTTTTTCGAAGCGGAGTGAAAAAATAGACGTTCCTTAGTTCAATATCGCGATAAAGACAATGAAACGTTGAATTAATATGCATTATTAAATTCCTTCGCAGAAATTTAATCTACGAAAAAAGAAGAAACATCGTAAAAGGAAACTCGTGTAATCGAGGTATTTTTCGACCTTAATTTGGTGAATGAAACGGTTTGTCGAGAGAGAGAGAGGGAGAGAGTGGTTGTAATTTAAGACTGTCAATCAAGATGCAATCGAGTGCATTATTAGCTGCCACGATACATTTCCGATCACAAGTGCAGGAACCACGTTCAAATGTCAAGGTTACCGATGGTGAAAGAAAGAGAGAGAAAGAGAAAGAAATAAGAGAAGGAGATAGCCTTCCCTTTTCCGATCCGCAAGCAAACATCCCGGGTTAGCCCGATCACCTCTTTGGCTCCCTCCAGGTCGCCGGTAATCGGTCCACGTAGGAGGGGACGGACGAACGCGACTATAAATGGTACCGGCTGGCTGTTCTCCAGAAACATAAAACGCCGAACCAACGTCCGACCCGGGTCCCTCAATCCTGGGAGCGAATACTGATAATACAGCAGCGCTCTTTTTTATCAGGAAGAAGGTGTAGGAGCCCAGCGAAAGACACGCCCTCGAATCATCATGAAACGCCTGGTAAGTGATTCCGGGATAAAGAAAAGTGAAAGGTTGATCGAAAATAATCGAGAAATGTCAATCTCTGCCTTGAAAATTACTGCTTGAAAATAAAAGATTAAAGAAAATTTTAGATTAAAAAATACAACTAGAAAGATAACTATACATAAAATACAAAAAGTAAAAGTATACAATTTTTTTACATGAAGCAAGTACCGCACTTTTCTCAATCTTCCCTCTTCTAGATTTTCCTACTCGCCACGGTGTGGACCTGCAAAGCCGCGTACGTCGGTTCATCCCCGTACGGAAGTTCCCTGGTCCACCCCCAACCCCAACAAATCGCTCCGAGCTACGCGCCACCGGCTCCGGTCGGCGATGACGGCAACGTCATCGACACACCGGAAGTGGCGCAGGCGAAGGCCGCGCACTTTGCCGAATTCGCGAGAGCCGCCGCTCGCGCAGCCCAGGAGAAGGATCAGCAACAGCCGTCCGGTTACAACCCGCACATCTCGTCGCCGATTTACAGCTACCCGACGGCCGTCCAACCTACCGCGGTGCCCTATCAAAGACAGGCTGGCGATTATCAGCGGCCTACTCCGATCTATCAGACGGCGAATCACGTGCCGGCGCCGCCCGTTATCAGCAACTACGCACCGCTCGGTTATCAGCAACTCCAGCAATATCCAGCTCGGGCAAACTTCGTGAACCAGAAGGATTACGCGCTACCCGCCAAGACCGCTACCTTTGTACCGGCGCCATTGGCCGAGGACGGAACCGTCTTAGACACGCCGGAAGTGGCGGCCCTGAAGGCTGCCAGACTGGCCGAGCTAGCCGAGGCCGAGGCTCGGGCTTACAAACACGCGAGCGCTCATCCGAATGAAGAGCAGGGTCAAGGTGAGCCGAGGAAGAACCGATGACTTGCTGCGTGGGTGTAAAACTGAACGTAGGGATAAAATCCTCTTTCGCAGCGGTGAGATCTCGCGAAGTTCAAGCTTGGCAGAGAATCTCTCGGCAAAAGTGGATCAGATCGAAAAATTTCAGACCATTGCCTTAATGTGAAAATATAATAAATCAGTCGAAATAAAGTAATAGACCCTTATAAAACCCTTCAAAAATTAATGCTATTCTATAAAAATATAATTAATGTTGTTACATACCCATGCGTTTTGTCTTGATCCTCTAAGTCGTATTTTCTATACGATTTCATTATGTGTAATTTCAGCTTATTCCGGATCACCGACCGGCCCCGCTCCCGTCAACTACAATCCTAATTTAGGACATTACGGTGCTTCGCGAGCATTTCCAGGATCCTCGTACCCTGGAACTCAGTCTTATGCCACCCAACAAGCGTACAATCCATCGGGTTATCAGCCTCATCATTATCAGTCCCAGCATTTGACAGGAACCTATTGATCCTGGCGAATCGGTCAATTGACAACACTCCGGACACTGTACATAATTCTAAATTAATAAATTGTTTCCTCTTTTCTAAAGACTTTTATTTTAGATTCACCTTTTTAATCACGTTCTTTTTATCATATATTCATCGCAAACACTTGTATTATGCGTTTTCTTTAAACACCCGATTAATTGTGATACATAAAGACTGCTGAATAAAGATTTGAAGGATGAACTTTTGAACTCCTCGTCTTCCCTTATCTTTCTTTTTAGTATAAAATTATTTTTATTTGAAGAGATTTGAAATATAATTAAATTATATTAAGTTTTATATCTGTTTTTTATAAATTAATAAGCGGCATAAATCGTAATTATTTTTATCATGAATTAACACAAAATATTTCACAATTTACAATAATTATACGGTAATACAATAACTAATGTTTCTTATTCAAATAATCTACTAAGCAGAAAGTAAAGTTTTATTCACGCGCTAGTTTCTCAATTTTCTACACATTGCGTCTATATAATTTAAATGTAAGACTAAAATTTCTCATCATATTCAATTGGAATATTAATCCAGAACTGTGAAAATGCGTCGAGTGCATACAAATATTTAATGAGCTAATTTCTAAAATTTAAAAAGTAGTTTTATTAGTTTCGTTTGTAATTAATTGTGACATTGATAGAGATGGAGAAAGAGATTAGTACCGACAGATTAAGATGTAAATAAATTAAATCAACTTGAGATTCTTTTCTCATCGACACGCGCGGAGAAAAGAACTTGCGAGATCTTTCGCAAAAGAAATCGCGGCGGCTCTCGTGATGCAATTCTTATGTCTTAATCTAAGATAGAAATCGGAAGAAGGGAGCGACCGGATCATCGTGGGATACCGATTAGGAAAGCTTTATGTTTTGCGCCGCTGCGGGACAATATCGTAACAATTCCGTCCCGTACGACTGCGTGCACGCAATTTTACGTAAGCGAAAAATCGATCATCGAATAAAAAATAGTTCAATGTTCAATGTAATATATGGCTAATCGATTTATCGTTATTTCCAAATTTACGCAATTTATATGTGGATATCTTTCATAATCTTGATAAAAATAACGAGATTATAAGAGAATATTTTTTCACAACAAATATATATATTTTTTATATTGAAATTTGCAACTACAAATATATATATTTATATTTGTGAAAGAATGCATTGTGAGATGCGTTTTTGTACTTTCCAGGAAACACGTAATATTTACAACACTGCATTCTAATCATTATTTAAATCTGGGAACCGAGAAATATCATGTAAATCGTATAGAAACATCGTCATCTAACGTTACAGTTGTGGATGTTGCCACATAGGTCACCAGTGTACGAAAGACGTGAGAAGAAACGAATGAGAGAGCGGAATAATAGCTTGGCGTTCCTCGAGTGCGGACTCGAGCATCGTGATTCGGCATACTGTGCGATGAAAAGGTCAGGAATCGTAACTCGTCTATGATGCGGAATATTCATAAATGCAAGAGAGATGAAATGCTCGTGAAGGAGCGTTAGATTGACGCGAGTTCTAGAGAATTAGAGATTTAAAACGGGATTAATCGCGAAATCACACACTGAACTATACACATATATCTCTAAGTTATCTTGTACGCGCGAAAAATTATCTCCCATCGAGATGAATTTCCTTTTATTCACGAATGCAACCTCGCCCACATTTGGGCGAACGATTATACGCTATAAATTGGCCTCGATATAAAGACTAGAATTGAACGATATAATACGCCTACTTGAGAAGAACTAAAAATTCCGCTAAGCTAGGATCGGCGCAGAATAGCCGTGTCGGAGCCGTGGTTTAACTTGTTACGTGTTACCGGGGGATTATGTATTACGAGACCCCCGTTTTGTGCGAGGATTTGCGCAACAATCGGTCGGCGTGAACAATCGACTGAGCTCCTCTAATCTCATCTTACGAGCGCGGATCAGCGTCGATTCGCATTATAATGAGGGCAAGATCATATAATCCTCTCGTACTGACCTGCTCAATCGACCTGCAAATGACACTAATCTAATTTGATGTCGTTTTATCGCCAGGAAAAATTTGTAGCATAAAATAATTTGCAATATTCTTGGAGATTGAATACAATATGTACGATTTAAGTTATAAATTATAATTTAAAAAAATAGTAAATATTTCCAAATTGAATTATTTTTCTAGCCAAGATTCACTCTTCGAACGATCGGATAGCAGCTTGCTATCCTTACTTACACTCATAAGTAAGGATAGTAAGGGCTCGTCGGTTAATCTATGATTCTGGCCGGTCGTCCATGAATCGGCGAGCGTTTTGCAACCGCAGAAAAATTCGGTCCAATGCACGTCGCATTGGTGCGTTGCGGTGAGAAAGGTGATTGCAAAAAACACCGAGACGAATCAATAAGACACCAATGCATCTCAATTGAATACGCAAGACTAATAATAATTAAATAACAAAATAAGCAAATTATTAAATGCAATAGACGCGTGTATGTAAATGTTTACAGTAACAAAATATTCTACCATTTTAAAGAAACGTAGAAAAAAATTTTACTAGTAAGAGTTAAAGAGTTATAAATAATTATTGAATATATTTTTATTTTTGAAAAAGAGAAATTTATCATATAAATTAGATGAAACTAAACAACGTGACTAATTATTTGCAATATATCAAAAATCGATTAATATACGCTTAAATATTTTGCTATAAGCTATTTGCGATTCGTGACGATATTGCAAAAGTATTTAGTTTCCCCTTCAAGATAAACCTTCCGGATACTAAGCCCTTTCACCAATGTCAAAATGTTGTCCATGGAAGGATTTATTTATTAATTTTTTTTAATATAATGTATAATTTATAATCTATTTTAGAATTGAGAGATTAAACCTTTGTGGCATTTTTTAACATAAGCGAATAAAATATACAAATTATAATTAAGATGTAGACATTCCACAATATTTTTTTAATATTCTCTTTCAAATAATTTTGACTACAACTAACGCTCACACAAATTGTGACGTCACTGATTATTGATGAATATTGTGGATTATAGACACTTTGCAGCGATGGTAAATACGGTCGCAGGACTGTACATTTGCATCTGCATATGCTGTCATGGGCAGACTCACGAAGACTCAAATTGAACTGTCATTTATAACGGGATCAGATCGACGGAAATTCTATCGAAAACAATGACAAGTACATTTGTAATGCAAATCAAAGGTCGATGGCACTTGGACAGGATGAACACATCGTTGATACGCTTTGAAATGAGATTATGTATTTAACATCAGAAAATCTCAATCTTAAAAAAATTAATCAAATATGTTAAATTAAATATTATAATCCTTCGACATTGCCAAGTCGATCAAAGAAATTCTAAGTTAAAAAAAATATCAAAATTAAAAGTTTTTCATTTTTTAAATTAATATATTGAATTTTCAACAGAAAAAATTAAAAGTTTTTCATTTTTCGAATTAATATATTGAATTTTCAATAGAAAGAAAAGAAAATGTTATACGCTTAGTGGAATCAAAACGGGACCAGTGCAAAGATCTGAATTAGTAGCCTCTGAAAGAGAAAGAGACTAGTTGTATACTGAATTAATCAATTTCTAAGATTGCCATAGGCAAGGTCAAGCATCTTACAGCGCACGAATTTAACATCTATAGTAACCAGCTTCTTGTTGTCGATCGCTTATCGGAGACTATCGCTAAAACCTAAACATGTCGACTAAATCGTCAGAAGTGATGATAGCGCGCTATTATTAATTAAATCTTTCATTAAATTTATCAATATTTTTTCTGCAACTAATTAATATGTAATGATTAATTTAATAATTAATATAAAAGATAATAAGAGGCGAAAACTTTAAAGAAAACTAAAGAAAACTAAAAAGAATAGAAATAAATTTTACTTAACTGATTCTGATTAGTAATAAGAAAGTAAAAGTGAACGCTTAATGACAAATTTTATAAAGAATTAATAATAATATTATAGAATTTTTGAATGATCAACGAAAATAACGAGAGGAAAAACCGGTTTCATTTATCTGACAATACAAAATAATGCGAGGCAGTTGTCCTGTGTTTTTTAATGCAGTTATCCTAGCATAACTCGTGCCACTAGCAAGGACGCGATTAATCGTGCCTGACGAAGTCAATATGCAACAACGAACTTCAGTAAATAACGATCTCTCATGTCGCATGTTCTCGCGGAAGCAGATCTAAATAATGGTACATATGATAATATTAAATTAAGTAAATTATAATATTAAATTAAGTAATTATAAACGAAAATAATAGAACTTATAATGAGAAACATTCTCGACGTAAACATTTTTACATAAATTTATGCGACAGAATTTCTGGATATTTTATTTTCGAGCTTTTAAATTTATATAAAAGTTAAAAATTAAATATAATATCATTCTCATTAAAGTCAAACGGATTAAAGGATGGATAAAAGTAGGAAGAGCAATCATTTCTACGCCGCTCGATCTCATATATATCGTGTATTTTTTCCATCGTATATATACGTACCAAATACAAATACTCGCGCATAATAAATGGGAAATGCATGAAAAACGACGTGAAAAAGCAAGGAGATGCATCAGCGTCGCATGGGAGGTAGATAATGATATCTTAGTCTTGTTTCCAATTCTCTGAGGTAGCTAAAAAGGAGAGCGAGGACCTCGAGCGGTCCAGGGCGACCGATCGATCGATTACGCTGGCCATATCGATGTCCGTCAAACAAGCGGGAGTGCGTGTTTCGGGTCGTCTTGATCCGATTTTTGTTTGCGAATTAATAGTAGTTGTGAGCCGGACCGTCCCAAGCGGGATTATAGCCGCCATTGTTCCAGGACGGATCGTAGGCGCCGGCGGCGACTGGATCAGCTGGACCGGCCGGCACGCGTTGCGCTTCCGCATTGTAAAGAGAGAAATGTACGGCCTTGGCTTGTTGGACCTCGGGTGTGTCGATTACGCGACCGTCTGGGCCCAATGGGGCCGGTGGTCCGCTGCGCGACAGAAGGAAATTGTTACACGAAACGACATTCAGATAATTCATAAACAAACATAGCTGAATTAATTCCCTGTTACATGAAGTAAATGATAAGAAAAGAGTAGAATGTTGAAGGATAACTAACACTGAGTCAGAAGATAAAGTTCTGTGTAATTTGATTGCGTTTAAATATAAAAATCCACGTTTTAAAAAACTCAATTCACTGTCAGATATTGAAATATCTGTCGGAAACGAACCTGTAATGCGGAATATAATTTCCGGAAGCATAGGGCCCGCTAGGTCCAGCATAACCACTCGGTCCCAGTCCCTTCGGTGCACGTGCATTAGCTTCCGCTAGGGCATTTAAATGAGCAACTTTCAGTTGCGCAACTTCCGGCGTGTCCACCACGCGACCATCTGGACCTAATGGAGCTGGAGAAGCATGAGGCCCGTACCATTGCGGAGCCGCTAGAATAACGCTCAACGTTGCGAAGAAGAGAATCTACAATTATAATTATTATATTTTTTAAATCTCATTATTTTACATATTCATATCTATTTTTAATTATATATAATACATTTCCAAATATAGGAATTAAAAATAACATTAATAAGTATAATAATTAATATCAATTAATCAATTAATAAACTATAAAATTATTAATAAAATAAAATATTATATATATTATATAATATTAATAAAATATTAGAAAAAAAGAAGCGATTGGTGAACATATTTATTAAATATGAACATTGATAAAATTGATGGTAAAATTAATTTTGCGACAATTTAATATTAATATCAATACCAGGATGACAAGTGAAAATAAGATATTAGAAAAATTAATGCTGAGAAATTCGAAATATTGAGAAATAAAATAAGTAAAAAATATAAAATAAATTTGACATAAAGAAATCTCTAAATATATACTACTTCACTATATCTCCTTCGAGCTTTAAAGGTACTTACAAGATATCCGATCATCGTGGCGAGTCCTGCTGCACCGAAAAGATATTGCCTAGATCCTCGACACTACTCGACTATCGACATGTGCGTTTAGATCCGCATTATGCTGCCATCAACGTGCATGTGCAATTTATAGGGGGTACGATCGCATACGCTGCGCCCCACCTGGCCTCGACGCGGGGTACAACCACACCCAGAGAAATGCTCTCCTTAAGTATGACACGTGCCCTGCCCTGTAACATTTACGCGAGTTAACAATGACGTTCGATGTATGTTGTCCTGTAACCTCGAGTCGCGCATAAAAATACTATGCGAGCTATGCGAGTTCTATACGTGGTAAGTTGTCCGCGAATGCAAATTGCAATCACCGGCGACGCTGGCTCTCGCCAAAATGATTTCGGGGCCAAGGAGTAACAAGGCATAATAAGAATCTTTTTAACATAGTGCAAGAGTGCATTGTTTCTTCACAGATGCTAGAGAGAAAATTAGAAATTTTTTGTATATACCGGAAAATTTGATGCATCCGCGCGACGAAACAATTATATATGTGGCTTTTATAATGTAATTTACATAAAGAAATTTTATATATATAACAAAAATAATTTACACATTACATAATTATGTACAATAATGACATAAATATTCTTATCATTACATTATTGTTACATAAACATTTAATTCTTATCGTTTAAAAATTTAATAGTGTCTTGCTTAAATGTTTTGTCTCTCTCTCTCTCTGAGAATTCAAAGATATTTTTATCATCAGAAATATTTAATATAACTAACATAACAAATCTCGTAGTAATCGTGTATTTAATTTATAATTTTAAAGATATGTTTTATATATAATTTATAATTTAAAAAAAGATTGGTTAATATAAAATAGCTCGATGGATTCTCTTAATCTTAAAATAAATCATTTATTACTTTTTTATTAATATTTATATAATATTTATATCATTTTATTATTCAAAAAATAATAAATAATCTATTTTAACATATTAAGTAAAGAAATATATTGATCTATTTTACATAAAATAGTATCTTTTACGAGTCTATAATAATTTATGATTACGATATTACATTATTTTCGAGGTACTATCACGAGTTATGTCCAACGTAATTTATGGAATTATTATTATTCATTACGGAATTATTATTTATCCACACGTATCGAATCAATCACAATAGTGTGTCACGGGGTGGCAATAACAATAGTTGTTGAGATAGAACGCACACGGTGTCGCAATTGACCACCTCGTTCATCGATCGAGCCCTATTCCTATGGCTGATTTGAAAGGAATTGCGCATTTGTCACCAACGCAATCTCCACAAGACGCGAGTGTTTAGGCGTTTAGTCGGGTCTAACAAAGTGGCTAGTCACGTGTCGATCACTCGTGGTCGACAACTGAACTCGTGTACCTCTATTGCAATTGAGATCTTAGCACATCGTTAGCATTCTTGATCGCGAAACTGAAACTCTTTACGTTATTTGCTAAAATAAATATATAATAATAAATATATAATAATAAATAATTACTCGCGTTCTTTCTGTAAAAATTATTCAAAGAATAAAAACGGCAAAAAAAGAAGAGATTCTTTCTACATATTCTGTTACATTAATAAAATATAATTTATGATATTCTTTTTATCTATATAATGTAAAGGAGAAATGCTTGCGCATTATATTTTCTTCTCACATATTATATTTTATTTGCAATTGTAATATTATTACATTTATGGTGTGTATAAGCACACGTGACATTTTTTACATTCATCGTGGAGATACGCTCGAAGTCACTACTCTCCTTCATACTACGAATGCAAATAAGCTTTACTCTCTTAAATTAAATCAATGCAAATGTCACTGATTAAAAGATTTTCACCGAAGATTACGAGTATTTCATTGATCTTCAGTGAAAACATTCGCACTTTCCTTCTCTCCTTTATGTTTCATTGAATATAACAGTAAGATTTCATTGAAAAATCATCTGTTATTATCAACTGATTTTGCTCAGTGAGATTTTATCGTTTGCCAAATTAAAGTTACCTATTAAGTGACGATACACTGATTCCATTTAAGAGAGACAATACACTGATTCCATTTGTATCTCTACTCCGCATCTCATTAACGGAGAATTCATCAGGCGCGCGTATAAGGATTGAGATATGACAGATGAGCGATCTTGGATACCTCCGCGGCATGGGCGGCCAAATGCGCGGCCTTGGCGTGGGCGACTTCCGGTGTATCCACGACTCGTCCGTCATGGGCAAGCGGGGCCGGCGGTCCGTGATATCCGGCGCCGTGATATCCGACGTAATTGTCAACGTAACTTCCGTCCGCGGGATATCCGCCGTGATGCGCCGCTCTGGCGGCTTCAGCGGCGTATGCCGCCAGATGCGCTTGCTTGGCGTGCGCCACTTCCGGTGTGTCGATCACTCGACCGTCGTGGGCCAGTGGAGCCGGAGGACCGTGATAATGTCCGGCTTGTGCCCCGTATGTCTGATAAGGCGCATACGCGGGCAAGGCCAGCGCCGACAATGAAAGGCACGATAAGATGATCTGTGAAAGGACGGCAGAGATTATAGAGAGATTTAATTATAGTTGGTTTATAGTTGCAAGTCCGTTGATATATCAATGAGAGAGCATAGAGATGGCGGTATAGATAATGATAATAAACGGACGGCAAGTGAAATGATAGAAAATACTGACGAAAGATTGAAATTGTGGCACGAGTTTTATTTTAAAGCAGAAGAAAATAGAAATTTTATTAATATTCAATAAGTGCAAGAAGATACTGTTGAAGAATCACTTGCACTTGTAATTCACACGTGTAAATTTTATGCGAGAAATTATATTTAATGATAGGAGAATTTCAGATAAAATTTTTGATTTAAATTTTATTGCTTTCCGAAAAAGCGGTCTCCTTTTGTAGGTGAAATAAAAAATTACTAGTGAGACTTGTAATGTGCGAGAGAAGAAAGAGTATCTATGTACTCACGAAGGACTTCATGTTTGCGCGCATCTATCCGAGATGAAGCGACTCTCTGTCCATTCTATTGGATCATGTAGACCTTATATAGTCGACGAATACTACAAGCTATCGCTATCTCTGTACGTTGGTATTAAATAGCGTAAACGAAACGCAGGCCTTGCTTGATTTTCACATAATAGGAACGCGAGGGAGAGGGGTTGGTTTCGATTCTAAGAAGCGAGATGGAGATCGAAGAGGCTATCTTGGCTGGATTAGAAAAGAAACTAAAATATTATAGTGAGAAAGAGAGCTAGAAAGAAAGAAAGAGAAGAAGAAAGAGTGTGAAAAAGAGAGAAAGAGAGGGAGGCTGGAATGCCAGTAAGAGCGAAATTACGATTGCGTCAACGAAAACGCGAGCAACGAACGATGTTGTACAATTGATTCGGCAAAAAGTATCAGAGGTAGAAACATTCGATCGAGATCGATCGAATATCTGTCGATTTTTTAATTCGTGATTATCGTGATATGGAAAATGCTTTGAAGAAAGATTCAAAATTAAAATCGATAAAACATAAGGAATATTGTGTGAGACAAATGTTTAATTATAATATTTAATAAATAGATAAATTTGAATACTTTTTCTAATAGAATTGTTTACTACTAGACTACTAATTGTTTACTACTAGTAGTATATTTTTATACTATTTTTAGTATCTATTTTTTAAAAATTTAAAAATGTTTTTGAGACAAAAATATCTGAATATATTTCCTCAGAATTAAAATTAAATATTTTTTTACCATAATCAAATAATTGTATGACAAAAATCATAAGTTTCTTTGCACTAATGACCATAACAATGATCTCTGCGGTTATTATATTGAATTGAAGGCTATCGAAAATTCCATCACGTAGATACTGCGTCTAATTGTTTAATGAGCTATTGCGCGATTTACTTTGAAAACAACACAATAAAGAGTAATTAAATATATTTAGCCTGATTCTCTATTGTTGCAAGATCTAATAAATGATCAACGATTAGACAGGTGTGTAATCTATGTAAATAGTTAATTGTTATATTAGATTGAGAAATTTCATCGCTGTGAGACAGTTTCGCGTCGCTGATGCAATGCAGAAATATCGAGAAATGTGCATCTTGCAAAAACCAAACTATCACCTTGTACGAATGTTGGTTGAACGGTATTTGCACTAAGAGGGAGTGATGCTATTAGGTAAGATTAAATCGTCGATTGTATATAAACCGAACATTTCGCGCTCGATACTTACAAAACAGAGGCATTCCATTTAAGATTGAACAGAACTAGAAATGGAATCCCTGGTAAGTAACCTTCTTGTACTACAATTTTTTAAATTAAAACAATATGTCAAAATCATCAATTGTACATTATGTTAAGATTTATAAGATCTTATCTTTATTTGTTTTTAAACTCCTTTCTCTCTCTCTTTCTCTCTTTATTGTCTTTACATTCGTAGATTATCTTGATGGCCGTCATTGCCATAACTTCGGGTACACCGACGCATTACCAATATCATGGACCACCCGCACCCATAGGTCACGATGGCAGAGTCATAGATACACCGGAAGTAGCCCATGCTAAAGCGGCGCATCTTGCCGCCGTGGCGGAAGCTGCCGCGAAAGTTCCTTACGGTTTGGCTTCCTACGCAGGAAATCCAGACTATCACGGATATTCAAAACCGGCATCGGTCAGTCACCAGATGTATCACAGCGGACATGGATATCATGGACCACTCGCTCCGTTAAATCACGAAGTAATGTTCTGTCATATAAACTCAATTAATGATATTCCTTTATAATGGAAAAGTTGCAATAATAAATTCAAAGTTAAAGTTGACATAAAATTGATATAAAAAAGAATATTGAAATAAACGTTTATGTTATGATGTCTAGTCGAAAATGTATCTTTTCAATATTATTTTTTATATTTTATTAAAATTTTCTAAGAAGCAACGAAAAATAATCTCAAAGAAACCTTGCATTAAGTTTAGATCAATTTTCACGAGTCTTCGAAAATTAAATTATAAAAGTCTTGCATCATTATTATTAATTATAAATATTATTAATTATAGATAAAGATTTTTATCTTTATTAAATTTACATTAATTTGCATTTCTTGAATAACGGAATTTATAGTAATTAATTTGGCAATACGTTAATAGATAAAACTCTATGTGTCACTGCCGTTTTTCTAATATTCTTTTCATTCTTCAGGGTCGCGTAGTAGATACGCCGGAAGTGGCCCGTGCGAAAGCCGCGCACTTGGCGGCTTACAATCACATAGCTTCCTCGGCACCTGTCGGCGTGGATCATTCCCAGATTTATGATCATCATTATTATGGCACTTCGCACATCCCTTTGTATCATGACAACAGAATCAATAGTCCCGAAGGAGATCACACCAGATACACTCATCCTACCGCCTATGCTAATGCTCTTCATAATTACGACGACGTTTACTGATTTTGTTAATCAAGGAAACACATTAGCCAATACTGTAACCGCTAATTATCTTGCATTTAATCGATGATATATATATGACACGCTCTGATAAAATTTAATTATAAAATTGATGTTTTGTAAAGAATTTTCGTTTCTTAGTGTTATTATGTAGTTCATTTTATGGTGTAATCTCTGTGAGTTTTGCGATACATCATAAATTATTTCGTATTTTACTTCAATCATTACTTTTAGACTGAACTACAAGACTCATAATTATTATTATTTTAGATGTGTTTTAGATTATAAGAAATATAAAGCATCTTTTTGTTCTTATTTGACTTCTCTTATTTCATTATATAACATTACTAACATATTAGAAATATTTCTGAAAACTTCTAAAAATATATCCTTTAAAAGAAAAAAAAAGTCAAGCTGAATTATATAAAAAAATACATCGCATATATATTTTAAAAGTATTTTACTTTGATGCATTCTTATTTTGTGTATATGTCACACAATTGAATCTTAATTGATATTATGGTAATATTATTTGCTTGCTTACAAATATTATTTTTAATTGTAAAATATGATTTACATTATAATTTACATCGTAAAAATTTAAATAGAATATAGAATGTAAATTTTTAAAAATAATAAAATATCACTTGTATGTATAGTTTGCAAATAGAAGGAGAGGTGTGATTTAAGAGATATCTGTCAGCTCGGTATGTTATAAATAACCATGCGATTGTCAAGAATTAATGTATGCAACTGGTATAGTTGTCGACATACGCCTGCGATTTCGCATAATAAATCGTCATCGTCTTTTTGTAGTCGCAAATGAATGAGAAATGATTGATGATTGATCTTATCAATTATATGACTTTTTTTTTAAGGAGAAAAATGCTTTGTACACATTCCGCCATTAGTTGACGGGGTAGTGTGGAATTCTCTTGATCGCCATGCTGCGTACATCGAGGTCTATCTGCTAAGAAAACCCCTTGTGTACTCATTCTTACCCTTTCTTACGTCAACCCCCCAGAACCGTTTTCACATATTTCCAGGAGGGCAAACTGGGACGCGCCTATTTGGCGCCCTTCTTCCTTTCGGCTCTTCCTTCCTATGAATTCCCCATATTCTATCTAACGAGTCCGGAGAGTCATCATTTACATGACTTACAACTACATTCCGAACTACCATTCTGAATATGTCACATCCAAATTTAATTCAAGGTTCGCAACATTTCATGTTTCTTTCAAACAGATAATTCCGAGATTGAATTCTATATTTTAAAACGTTACTTACAATTATAATAAGTTTTTTCAATCTACAACAAAAAATAAATTGCAAATATTTTGCAAAAAATAAATTGCAAATATTTTGCAATTTATGAATGATAAATGATTATACTGCAATCAATTGTACACAGTAATAATAAATAGTTAATTTTTACACTTTAAAAATAAATAGTTAATTTTACATTTATCATTTTATTTTAATCAATCTATTCATATTTAATTAAATATGGTATCACATTTTTTTCTTTTATTTGTTCATCAATTTTGAATGGATTTTCTTACAATGAAGCAATTTTCCATCTAAGTGAATCTTGCAGCATCTTATCTAATAATTTTGTAATTATCTTGCTTAATGCGAAGAATTCGCCTAACGATATATAATTATTCGATCTTTCTAATCGGCATGTATGGATCATTATGAGATCGATGCTTCTCGGCCCACGGGTTATGTCTGCTCGAAAGAATTGCCAAGTTAACCAGCTAATTGTAAATATCGTTTAATGGGCATTTATAAAGTACCGACCTCGATTGTGCGCGTGCACTTATATTACTAATAGACAATAGGGTCATCGGGCGTGCCGAGATTATCTCGAATTCCAAGGAAAAGGGCTTTTGTTCCCCTCAATCGTTGCATAATCTATGCGTTATTAAAACGCCCATACAAACACAAGAAAAATTCTGCATTTAAATTTGAAATGCTGAAGATGAATGAAAATTATTCGTATTTTTTTCACATATAAAGATTGTTAAAATATTTTAAGTAATAATGTCACATGACTTTTAGCAAAATTACATGTATAATGTGTACATATTTAATAGATACGTATATATATTTATTAAATATATCTTCTATCTATATATTAATATCAACATTTTTTTGAATATTTCTCAGTAATACAGACACTCTATGTATCAATAAATTATTGATTTTTCAGAATAATTCATTTTTTGATTGATATCTTGTCCAACTTTTTTAATTCTTCTTTTTATAACTTTTATAATTTTTTATCAATTATTTAAATGTGTTCAAGATTTCAATTTTCAACTAATTATGAACGCTCGCTCCATTTATATGTACGTAAATCATAATGAATTATAATGATGCATTAAGTGCAAATGCATCTTAACTCAAGCATTGCTCAACGATAGACGACGATTGGTATAGAATATACTAATATAATATTTGCAAAACTGTTATAATTTAATAAATTAAAAGGGAGTTATAATTTAACTTGTCTTTAATGAATAATAAAATAAAAATTAATCGCTTAATTAACACAACATAACATTAACGAAACATAACTCTATAAGCTTTAAGTTTTTCCTACTAAAAAAGCTCTTTTTAAATAAAATTTTCAAAAAAATTAATGTATGTAAAAAATTTATATGTATTTTTTTATTTTTATAAGAAAAACTTCATTTTTAGTAAAGTAATATTTCTTCAATCGTTTTCGAATTTTTTTGTTTATACATATGTTATTAAGCGATTCAAATAATATGCGTGAGATTTGCACAAAGAGAGTTTCGTCAGGAAATGGGACCTTGGAAGTGATCCGTAAGGAATTTCCGACAGCGAGTAAAAAGATCGCACACCTGATACATATCGGCTACATACGTCAAAGAGCAATCCGTTCTGTCTGTTCCGATCATCCAGGAAAAATCTTTCGACCTCGAGGACGCGTGGCCGACCTTCATTCTTACCGGACAGGCGCTCTCCTTTTCTACGTCGCACTTCATATTTTAATCATGCATGCCTCTTTTCTCCCTTTCTCTTTCATCTTTCGGCAGTTTCGCTTTAATATTGGCAAGGACGGATGTTATTCGATTTCTCAGTATATCGGTAATTTATGGTAACAAGAATGAGAGACACCCTCCTCTGTCAAATATGTGATACAACCTTGCCATTTTTTTATGAAACTATTTAAATCTTTGCATGTTAAGATAGGAATCTATCCAGGAAGAATTATTTGATACTAGTATTATTATAATTATATTATGTAGAGCATAAATAAATGCGTAAACTTTGTAGTAAAAAATTCAGTGCAATCTAAATGAATTTTTTTATCCTACCTGTGGCGAAAAAGAGATCTTTCTGAGATCTTTCATTGATACAACAAGATTAAATAATATTAATTAAACATTAATTAAAATACGCGACAAGAATACAAAACAAGAAAAACTTATATACTTTCACGCCATTCAATTATCATTATACAAAATTATTGCCAATAATTACACGAAAATAACGTCCTCAAACTCTTTAGTACACATAAATATGCATGTATATCTGTACGAAAAAAAGTTACTCTTATATTTATTATAATTACAAATTCTTCGCGAAAACAGTTATTAACTATCATTTTCGCCATAATAAAGAATTTACGAGCCGAATTACCTTTCACACGCAATCCCATCATTAAAAACTGATCGATTCTTCGTTGCGAACCACGTTGAATTTCCTGGGTCGAGCCCTTGGCGTTAGTGGTCGCTCTTGACGATGATGAACGTGAGCGTGTCTCAGTTAAAGAAGCAGTCGACAGTGCGAAACTGACCTCGACGATGCATTCGCAGGTGCGAGGAGAGCATCCCTCTCCTCTGTCCAGACGGCTACGATGTAGTAGCGTCTCATTAACGTAATGTCAATGTCAACACTTTGAGATGTAATATTTGCTGTAGGGCGTGGTCCCCTCCTACGGGTCGACGACTCCCTACCAGGATTCACATATATAAAAGGAGATCTCGACATGCTACGATACATAGCAATCGCATACCTTAGGGCGAGTACTGGTAATCCAGCAGCGCACTGATAAGGCATGAAGGTCCTCGTAAGTATACTACATCTGCTGGCGACAGATTCGGCAAAGTGTCCCTTACAACTAGTATCTTACAAATAAAAATTTAATTGGATTAATTTAATCACAACAATAATAATAATGTTTGTTTACTAACTTAATTAATCAGTATTCTTCGACTTTTTTCACATTTTTCGAATTGTATTTCGGCAAATTAAAAAAAAAAGATATATAATTACTCATGGAAATTATCTCTGATTCATAGATTGTTCTCTCCGCGCTCTGCGCTATCGCGACCGCAAAGCCGACTTATCTAGCTTACACCGGCATACCACTCGGACCCGATGGTAAGATCCTGGACACTCCGGAGGTGGCGCAAGCAAAGGCGGCGCATCTCGCTACTCAGGCTTACGAGGCCGCTAGAAATACGCTCGGCTATGCGCCCGCCCTGGCCATTTATGCACCTGCAATTACGTACGGCGCGCCCATCGGCGCGGACGGTCGGGTGATAGACACACCTGAGGTCGCTCAGGCCAAGGCTGCCCATCTCGCCGCTCACGCCCAAGTATGAGACATTCGCGTTTAAAGATGGTTGCGCAAATAATTTGAATTGTATTATATTAGCGAATTGCGCAGAAACAGACTTGTAGAAATATTGTGTGTTTAGATAACAATTGTGAAACGCCTAGATTAGATATTTATGTCGTTGATTCTTCACTTTTTTCATTTTTATTCATACAGGAGGCAGCCAAAACAGTCGGATTTGCTCCATATGGGGCTCTAACATACGCTTCGCCTGCATTCTACGGTTACGCTCCACTTGGACCCGATGGCAGAGTAATAGATACCCCCGAAGTGGCGCAAGCTAAGGCCGTACATTTTGCTGCACATGAGGCTGCCCGAAACGCCGTTTAATAAGTGTAATTATATGAAAACTGCGATACACCATGCATATTGATCAAATTGTGACTCTTGATCTAATCAAAGATATTCGTATATCATGTTTTCCTTGGATCTAAATCTTTGACAATAAACAAATAATCTTTAAGTCATATTATGCGATTTATATTCCTTATTCAGTCACATTTGTCCTATGACAATTTAAGATAAAATTTGATTCCCTATTGCGCACAAAATTTCAGATTATAAAACATGGTCAGAGTATTTAAATAGCCGAAATGTATATAAATATATGATATTTACATGTTTAATTTAAACTACACATTTTAAAAAATCACATAATAATCGGACAAAAATTCTAAATAAAACAAATATTATCGACCTAAATATTGTCAATTTATACATCGCGCGGCGTGTCCAATTTCGAGTGCCTTTCGCGCCATAGCTAATGCACCGTCTTTGGTTTTATGGCCACCAATAAATCGTACGGAATGTACAAACATGGCATCTTCGATCTCGCAGGCTTCCACAAGCGCATCGTTACGTAAACCGCCCCACGCTTCCGGTAAAAACATTCTGCATATGAAACTGCCCTGCGAAACCGGCATGCACTGAACCCGATAGCCGTCCTCAGCTTCGAAAACGGCATATTTTATTGACGGCGAAACATTCATTTCTTTTTCCAATTGAAACAAATGCTCCTTCCATGGTACAGTTTGCGACAACATTATTATCTCGCCGCTCGAATCGACCTTTTAAAAATATTTTACATTACATTTAAACATATTATAGCTAGAGAAATTTATGAGATATATATTTAAAAAAGTTCATTCACCTTAAATCGATCTTCTACAGCATGTCGCACGATATCCCTCGCCGGTAGCCAAACGTTTTTTGTATAATGTACAAATTCCAAAAATTCTTCCAAAACCAAAGCCATGGCTTTTTCGAATCGTTCCTCAATATTCACATCTTTGCTATTCCATTGAGGATTAAGTCTGCCCACTCGCGCGCTTAAATCAGTAACTATTCGATATCTGAAACAGCAAGCAAAGTGCAATACATCGAAAAAAACAATATATAACATGGTTAGTGTTACAAACGCTTACAATGGTTCTGCATCATACATCGGTATACCGTTATCTATAGCATCAATCTCTTTGATTAGAGTATCATAAATTTTTTTGAAGATCTCTTCAATGACTCTATCCTCTGTAACTTCCGGAAGTACACTCCTCAATATTTCATGACCAAAATGACAATAGATCAACCCTGCACTGCTTAATTTTACTGTCCATTTGTACTCTGATTTCTTCATAACACTACTTACTGTTTCCTGAAATTCCCTGATATAAAAAAATAGAAGATATTAGTGTATCGGAATAGAACAGCATTTCCTAATGCATAATGTATTATTATACCTCATATGATGATCGTATCGATGATTGGAAGGATCATATTCTCCACCAACGTCCACTACAATATCACAGGTTTCTAAGACACTCTGAGTTCGAGATCTAAAAATACAATATGATATATACTTGGAATCTATAATCTAATGTAGTTTTACTAAATTTTGTTTCCATCATATTTTAATTGTAAAATTTTCTCTTTTAATTTTGTAAACACAATTTTCATTTCCAGGAGTTTTAAATAATTACCTCACAATAGAAGCATCCTTGTACTGCGGTAACAGCTTTAAGAGCGCACAGGCGAGCACTTCGTCGCAATGAAAAGTGCCGTCGTGCGTGCCGATTTTTACAGCTGATTTTTCCAACATCCTCCTGAGCTCGAATGCACACGTTCTCCTCCAATGAAGATTAGAAAATTTATCGGAACACGTGTTCCTTAATAGTTGACTGAAAACTTGAATCATTATACTAAATTATATTGTTATATCGTGGACAACATATTCCATCGATTTATAACCATTGATTCTCACCAATTGATACAGCAAAACGTGCAATAAGCGTCCTTTTGAAGGATTCAGGATGTCTTGATACTTCGAAAAACGTGACAGAAAATGTTCGTGATTTATAAATAAGTTAAATTTCCTGGCAAGTTTCCTAGATGTCACTTTATAATGTTTATCACCTCCTATAGCCATAAATTGTGATTCTGTTCCGTGCCAGAGAGAAGACTGAGAGGTGTCATGGCCCACATCTCAGTTTTCTCTCTGTTTTCTCTCTGTTCGTGCTATGTGCGCAAAGTCTCCCGATCTACAATAGGTAATTTAAGCCCTAAGCCTTAAGAAATTGACCAATCACAGCCGAGTATTCTCTTCATACTTGATTATGATTGGTCAATCTCTTAAGGCTTAAATTACCTATTGTAGACCCGGCCTTAATTGGAGTTTGGTCCTCAGTCTTCTCTCTGATTCTATGAAGGAGCTCGAGGCTCGAGATGATCGCTTTCAAGCTTCTCTCTGATTAAACCATTAAACGCAGTATGCTGCGCTTATCAATATAATAATTGATACTACTTTGGTGAGTAAACCTTGAGAATTTTCCTGACACGATGTCGCAGCGATCCAGGTACTTTGTGAATGAGTATTGTGCGCGTGAGGAGGAGATCGCCAACTGCGCGACATCAATGCGGCGTGAAATCAATCACAGTCAGAATGCCGCTAAGAAAAATCTACATAAGATTCTGCAGCGTATCGTTGACAAGGAGCCGCCCGAACGTGCGGAAACGGATGGTGGTCTGTACGTTGGCGCATCCGGCATCTCTTACGCGTTTCTGCGACTTGCTAAACATGCTCTATTGGAAGCCGAGGCTGACAAGTATCTGTCATCGGCCGAGCGTTATCTGCGTTCGTCTCTGGCGATGGTGCAACGTCGTGGGGGACGCTCCAGCCCTGGCTTTCTTTTGGGTTTGTATGTATGTATATTTAGGGAACAAATGGAGTGAAATAATAATGGAGAGAGAAATTAATATTAAAAATAGATAAATTGAAATTAATGATTAGACCGCTACCTTTGAATTTTTTTATCATTTATCCTTATCACGAAAACAATGACATAATTATTCAATACGAGATGAGATAATAATTTAATAATATGAAATTTATTATAAAATTTAATTAATATAAAATATTCATAATAAAATAAGAATAACATCAATTATATAAGAAGGTCAATTTTATGTGTATTCAAATTGACTACTTAAATATTTTTAAAAAAATGTGCGTGTGATTTGCAAAAGATTTGTAAAAAACTGTTTTTCTAAATAGAAGAAAATATTTCAAAAAATATATTTGTTTCTCTTAATTATTTTAATATAATTTTATTTTTTCATATTTTTTTATTTATGTGATAAAAAAGTAAAGCTTTTGTGGCTTAAAATATTAATTTAATATAATAAAATGATAACATAATTTTTTCTTATTATTAAATATTTGTATTAATATTAAATATTTGTAAATATTTCTTTATATACAGCTAAGATAGAATAAAATTTGAAAATATATAACAATCTTAATTAAACTAATTGTATTCGATTATTACAGGAGATTGGGGCATCCTAGCAGTAGGTGCAGTCCTTGCAACTGTTCGAGGAGATGAAAAGACTGCTAATGAATTTGTGACACGCTACGCAGAATCGGCAGAACGCTGTAAGGAAGTAAACTTTCTGAAATGCGGATCGGATGAGTTCTTTGTTGGTCGCGCTGGCTTTTTGTATGGAGCATTATGGCTGAACCGCACGATGCAAAAAGTTGTCGTGCCATTCGACGCAATGCATGAAATTGCGCGAACGATCGTCGTCTCAGGGAAGATGTATGCGCGAGTGCATAACAGTCCATGTCCATTAATGTATGCATATTATGGCACGGAATATCTAGGTGCAGCACATGGACTCTGTGCAATTTTACAAGTTCTTATACAGGTAATAAGTATTCACGATGAGAATAATTATCAAAAGAACACATAAAAATATGTGAAAGGGAAATTAATTATCATTGATATAGTTAATGATTAATATTTTCTAAAAAAAAATTAAATAATTATTTATAATTAGAGACATTTTAAAAAGGATATTGTTTTAAAATTTACACACACATATATATATATATATATATATATATATATATATATATAAATTTTAAAATAATATATTTTGTGTTAATAATATGTTTAAAATAATGTTGTTTAAAATTCCAATTTAATAATAAGAATCATTTAAACATATTTTATTATACATATTTATTAACATTATTAAATTTAATATTATTAATATTATCTATTTATCTATACTTGCTTCAAATATAATTTTTTAATTAAAGCATGATCATTATCATTAATTATACGCATTACTTAATTTTATTCTCTTTGTCCAGGTGCCATCATTCTTAGATAACAATGCCGACATTGATAGCACTACACGAACTTGTGTAGATTATTTCTTGAGTTTACAAACACCTACTGGTAATTTTCCATGCGCGATGGATGAAATAGATCGTTCTGGACGAAGTCGCAGAAATAGTGACGATGAGTTAGTGCATTGGTGTCACGGTGCTCCTGGCGTCATTTACATGATGGCGGCGGCATACCTGCGCTGGAAGGATCAGCGTTATCTGAACTCATGCGTACTCGCTGGTGATCTTGTCTGGCGCAAAGGACTCCTGCGTAAAGGACCTGGGATTTGTCACGGTGTAGCCGGCAACGGTTACGTCTTTCTTCTTCTATACAGACTTACTGGCAATGAAATTTACCTCTATCGAGCCGCCAAATTTGCGGACTTTATGAACTCGTCACAGTTTCAGTCAGATGCACGTGTACCTGATTCACCGTATTCCCTTTACGAAGGTATTGCCGGCACTGCCTGTTTTCTTGCTGATCTTATCGAACCAGATAAAGCACATTTCCCTTTCCAAGATGTGTTCTGAGATTAAATACTAATAGAATATCAAGTAAGAATTTTGTTCTTCACTTTTTTCGCAGCTTGAATTCATCTATCTATATATTTGGATTTTAATCTATGCATTACATTAACATATTGTAATTTTATTCAATTATGTTTTCAATGACTACGATTTAATTTTCTTTCAAAATAAATATCTAATGTATTTATCTATTATTAAAAATTAAAAATCGTTATTAAATATTATTATTAAAAATTGTTATTAAAAATTATTATTAAAAATTGCGCTATTTTTTATAAATATCTAATATATAATAATTTTATATATATATATATATATATATATATATATATATATTATATAACTATAAAAATTAAATTTATTAAAACTTAAGGCTCTTGTGTATGTGTCCTCTGCAACCATGTTGAATTATGCCAAAAACGAAAAATCACATAAGAAATTTTCCTGCAAAATATATCAAATAATTGAATAATTTTTTTGACTATTATATCCAATAATGTGAATTAATAAAATGTCGAAAATACTCTTTATTATCAGCGTGAGTTCTGATTGGCTTTCTACTTTCTGCTTTACTGCCAAAATGTAAACGCGCCTTAATGTTTGCATCACTTTTTAGGCAGTATCAGCAGTATGTATTTTTATAGGTATATGGATTTATATTATATATATGTAATACATACATGAATATATTAATTAATAAAATAAATATATTAATTATGAATATATCAATGCATATATTAATTATAAAAATAAGAGATATTTTTCTCGAGTCAACAGTCACGATGCACAAATAACTAGACGCGACACGTCTAGCTATCGTTCGACTCGGAAGAGGCTAACTTCAGGCAGTAATGACGCCTCTGTACGTGTGCGTGTGACACGCGTCCGCGATCTGTCCGCTTCTGACAGGGGACAGGGTTTGAATCAGTTTGAATCTCTCGCCTCGAAAGCCGCGCCGCAGCTCGCGAGATCAATTCCTCGACTACTGTCGCGACGTCGCATTCCCGCCCGTGCGATGCTCCCGATCCGGGGACGTCGCGTCGCCTGACACTCCGCGTGCGGTTTGAATCTCGCAGCCGTTCGGGCTGTCGACTTATGTGACCCCCGTGCGTGAGTACGACTTTCTCCAACCTCGTTTCGTTTCGCGCAACCGTCAACTGGACAGGATCGCGATCATCGTCGTCGTCGTCGTCATTGCCAGGAATCACAGGAGGCCTACGCAGGTAACCGTTGCGTTTGTTAGGTTAACTCGCGGCACGACGCCGCGACGCTTAATCGGGTGGGGGCACTAATTAAGGAACGTTGGATGGGGGAGACGGCGAGCACACACGCATTGTTACCGTTAGCTAGCGGATTATCGGTGCATGTGTTGCTTCGTATCAGCGTCCCTTTGGGATCTTAAATCTAAATGTTCGTTCTTTTTATCTGAGGTATTACCCGATTGGATTAACTTTTCAACCGTGTTTATCTCATGCATTGTACCTTATCAGCTGTTTCTAGGATTTTAGATAGAATATGCAAAAATTGTGTAAACAATTCATGATGTTTGCTCTGTGGAATCTAAACACTTTACACATGATATATTTTAGCTTCAAGTGTGAGAAGTTGTTTCTGAAAAATTAAATAAATAATTATATCGATGTATCCTCTTGCAGTTGAGCTTTTCGATACAAAATGGGTAGCAGCAGCCAGCTTTACAGTCTCTCCTGGGGAGAATTCAGTTCCTCTCTGGTCTCTGCGGTACAGCTATTGAGAGGACATGGCGATTTGGTGGATGTTACCTTGGCTGCTGGTGGACGTAGCTTTCCTGCGCATAAAATTGTTCTCTGCGCAGCCAGTCCGTTTCTGTTGGATCTGCTCAAGGTTGTGTCATTATTCCAATGAGACTAATAAGAATGTGAAATTTGAAAATGTAAAATTTGAATACAATAAAATGCTTTGTCCAGAGCACACCGTGCCAACATCCAGTAGTTATGCTGGCAGGAATTGGAGCAGATGATTTGGAGTCTTTATTAGAATTTGTATATCGGGGAGAGGTAAGCGTCGAGCCATCGCAGTTGCCTTCCTTACTTCAGGCCGCCCATTGCTTGTGCATCCATGGATTAACTCCACCAACTGTAGTAACAGAGGTATATTTCTAATATAATTTAAGCTCATTAGCTTTAAATAAGAAATAAGCTATATGTTTTTGATGTAATATATGATTAATGTATTGTACATATCTATATCTAGAGTGGAGAAGAAGTTCCTGCATCAGCGATACCAACACCAAATGATGCTTTGTCGAAGGCGACACTCAACTCATATAATCCACTGAAGCGGAGAAAAAAGAGGAGGAAATCGTCCACATCTTCTGGAAAATGGCCCTGCACCAGTAACACTACTGAGACTAGCGAAAACAGAGTGGATGATAACAACAGAACAATGCCTTACGAAAACAAGGATGATGATGCTACAGATCAGACTGATGATGCAGGTAAGCAATTTATAAATATTTTATTTTGATAAATTAATTTTATATCTTAAGCGAGAAACAAAGTATAAGATATAAGCTACGCGACAGATTTTGTAAATTTTCTTAGTTTTTTGAAATAGTTTTTGTATAATAAAATATACAATAAAAATACTTGTTTTATATTTTAAATATTGTATGATTTATCTTAGACAAATTTTCTTTACTTCATTATTAGACATTCATACGTCATTGCAATCTTTGAATTAATTTCAATAATTATAATTAAGATTATAATTAAGCAGAATGTAAGATAGCAAAAGTGTAATAACAATTTCACTTGTGTTTTGTGTCCGATGCATTATATTTAGTAATGATCATCATAAAACCATACCAAATATCGCTTATGAGAGGCTCTGTATTATATGTAGGCCTTATTTTTCGCTTTAATTAAAACGGACACAAGCACAACCATCGATCGGGTTGAACTGCAATTCTGATTGGTCGTCCTTCAATTCGTTCGACCGAAAGAGAGAGAGAGAGAGAGTGAGAGAGGGAGGGAGGGGGAGAAAGAAAGAGAGAGAGAGAGAGAAAGGGAGAGAAAGCGAGAGCGAGAGAAACAAATTTAAAGCAAGCAAGCCAAAACAACGTCAGTTCAGCCCCGTATGGTAACATTGTGTTTGTGTCTGTTAACAGCGGGCACCAACTGCCTGGTTGGAAACTACGCGAACAACCATCAGGGCGGCAGTCATTCACCGCGACTTCAAGAATCATCCATCGCGGATAATCATCAGACGGCGTATCAGGATCACATCTCGGATGGCGAATCGCATCTGCAGTCATTGATGCCAATGCAATTCTCGCCGCTGCACATACCACAGTTCCACAGCTCTCTGGGTTTTCCATCCGCTTTGTCGTTGTCTAGTTTAGCGGCCACTCAAGCAGGAAGCGCGAATCAGTCGAAGACGCGCGGTGCTTCCGATTGTCCAGGTGTCTGTCCGCTTTGCGGCGCAACGTTGCGCCAGGCGAGGAATCTGCGCAGGCACCTGTTGTCCTCGTGCAAGTATCGGTTCAGTAACAACTCGACGATGACTACGACAACGCAGAATTCTGATACAACGATGATGGAGATCAAGCCTGAAGTTGAATTGTCCAGTTATAACGATCAGTCGTCGGTAACTTATGGGACCGACAGCGGCAGTAATAGTTGCGAACAGATAGTTTGTAAGCCCAGCCTACCTTCGCCGACGTTGCATGGGCCTGAAAACGCGGTTTCGCCACCAAGCAGTATCCCGTCGCCGACGATCGCTAGATAAATGAAGGAGACTCGTCGAGACAAGCACGAGGATCGTTATTGATTATTCGTTTCGTAGTCTTACAGATTTTGTTCGATTGTGTTATGGTGATTGAATTCGAGAGTGCTATGATGTTACGTGAGGATGAAAAAATGAAAACCTTGCGTTATTTGTATAGTATATTAGTATCCATTTATGAGAACATTTATTTGTAATTACTCATTATTTAACTAGATCAATTCAGAATATATTTATGCGATTAAGTTTATACACGAATCTTCCACGCGTTAGTGTGTAAGGATACCATAGGATTAATCGATGCAGTTTTAAGCGGGAAAAGTTCTATTGTGACATAAAAGATTCTTATTCTTTTACTATATGACTTATACGGTAATCGAAATTTCCTATAATCGTGCAATTCGAGTTTACAATTCATTTTACTGCCTCTTTAATTCCCTCGCCACGGAATGGTCTAATAGCAATATAAATTTAAATATATATTAGCTAACTGTAATTTATGAGTATCATTTTTTAACGAAACCGAAGATCTTCCACAACAGCCACAAGATGAAATCGGTGCACATTCCTATTTTGTAATGACGGACTTTGCTGTGTACGCGTGGACCGTTGACAATAGTATGTGCATATACGAAACAATTAGCATTTCGATTGAAAGAAGAAGTATAAAATAACGGGTATAATAATGTATTAACCAGTTTCTTTTCTTTTGCAAATAAAGTATGTGATACTTTACGTTGCGTTATTTTTCGCGAAAGCGAAACAACTTTGGCGTATGCTATATATGCATTGCTATCCCATCTATTTTATCATACCAGAGACACGATATCTGGTGACAAGAATCGAGGTGAGATGTTCATGATGTCTTCTTTATATATGTTGAGGTCAATCTAGCTTTGACGAGGAATTTGACGTTTCAGGAGACGGATTGTCGAAGGCGCGCAGTCTGTCCGATCAGCCGGCGTCGTGTCCGTTATGCGGCGCGATTCTACGCCAATCGAGAAATCTCAGAAGACATTTGGAGCTTCTGCACTTTGGTCTGGGTAATAGCAGCAAGTCCGGCATACACGCGAGGCATCGGCGAACGGACAGAACCAACGATTTCGGTCTGTCTTCGCTAGCGTGCGTTCGTCCCACTGCCAGGATAGACTCCCACCTCGCCGTGAGGTCCTCCGAGGCCTCAGACTTTTCCATGATGACGCCTTTATCGATCGCCTCGTCCGTCAGTTCCGCGTCGAGCGTCAGTCTTTCAGGTGAATCGCATCTCAAGCCACTTAAGATATAGAAAGGAATCATACAGGAACGAATAAATTTTTTGGGGAAAAAAAGAGAATACAGAATATATTGTACAAGAAATGTAGAGTAAAAGAGATTATCCATTATTATATGGACGTTAATGAAATAATTATTGCTAATGAATTGTTGTAAATCATTGATTTGACGGAAAAATATGATACAATAAGGGATTTTAAAATTTTACTGTCATGCTTTATACGCAATGCACGCGATATTGTATTAAAGGATTAGCGGATGCGTTATCGTTTTCGCTAAAGCGATTACGCGCGAATTTACATTCGCGTGAATTTACAAGTCTCGTCTTTACATATAAACTTTGTATTTGTGCGATTACAAATGCTGATAATTATCAGTATTTTGCGAGAACGCGATTGCAATCGAGATATATTCGTTTGGGATTTAGTCATTTATTATATTATCATGGATTAAATCCTTGCATTAGTAAGTTTCATGTTTATTTAAAAACAAATTGCAAACATCTATTCTATGATATTATTTGCATTTATTTTCATAAAATCCTGATTTAATAGTATTTTTTATCGTTATTTTATCGTACATTTGTATAATTGTATTGTTAGTTTTGATCCTAAAATATAAAGAGTAATACATCATTAATTAATCACTAATATTATATCACTTTTGTTAACTAACATTATGATAAGTATTTTTAAGTAATTTAAATTATCTCTTGAAATTAATAATGACATAACTAATAAATATTCAGATTAATATTTCTTATAAATTACATTTTTTCATTATCAAAAATATAATTTATAATTTTTATAATGTAAATTGCTTCATATACACATATGTGTCTATTATTAATACACCATGATATCAAAACTTACTGTTACCTTGTACAGCATCAGCAAATCTAGATCTTTTCAATGTCCATAGGAAACTTGATAGGCCCGAATTCAAGCCTGTTAGGTTCCAACGATCAAAATGGACATCCGCTGCCAGGATCCACTCCTGTCACGTGCAACGCGTCCATGGTACCACCGACCAACGGGATCTATTCCTCGGACAGCGGTGCCAGCATGTTGAGTTGTCTGCTACCATCGTTGCCTACCTTGCCGCCCTTCTCCGCGTCTCACGATGTATTTCGACACGGCGAGATGCTACGTGCGGGAATCGCTTACCACGATTCTTCTCGACAACACGCCAGGCACATGCAGCGCACCGATGTCACCTAACTTGATGGTTCCCGGTGTCACAATCGCGTCACAGAAGAAGCACGAGCGTGTAGCTTTGTGTTATAGACGAATCGAAGACAGCATTAGAACAGAGTACTAAGTAGTATGTACGAAGTAAATAGAGTACTTACGAATTAGCTTATAAAGACATGAATATTTAAGGGCGATAATAGCAGTCGTGAATGTGTGTATATTGAAAATGCCGCTGGTTGCGGTGATATAGTGATAAAATTAATGTGATGAATGTGTAACGATGAATGTAGTAACAATGTGTTACATTAGAAATTTTTTACTCGGTGCTATGTGTATGTGAATTCAAATATATACACAATCTATAAATATAATAAATCGTTTAGTAATGAAATGTATTCTCTTTTTTTAGAACAGAGATATATGAATATAAAGACTTGATTTAAGATTTGGACATTTTATTGAAATTTTATGAAGACGAATTTTAAATATGTAAAAAGAGATTCATTTAACATATCAAATTACAATATTTATTGCTTGAGAACTTGATAATTATTTACGAGATTCATTTCGTCCTCGATAAAATCTCACGAAATTGGCTTCTGCCAAGGAAAAAAGACCAGCTTGTTCGCTTTAGAACAGAATTCAAGATTCTTACAATTCGACTTTTTGTGCTCAGGCATACTTTATTTTAAAAAATTACTCATATATTTCAATTATTTTGGATCATTAGATTTTTCTATCAGATACTTGAGTTACTGAGCCAAAAAAGAGTGGTTTTTCATTTATGAATCTTAATTTCAGGAAAATCAAGGAAAAAAAGTGAAAGTAAGAATCTATCATTTGCATTTTCTTTCCAAAGAAAATCCTTTTATCTCAAGCACTCACAATGATCTTTGAATTTGTAATATATTAAGGATCCTCCAGATCCTCAGATCCACAGTGGTTTTTGAAATCATAATTAGATAATTAAATTCATTTCTTCGCGAGGCCGATTGTGCCCTAAAACAAATGGCCAATTTCTCTGAGAGATCCTTTCGAGTTCTCCCTCTAGGAGCTTCAATAAATCATCGAAATATCGCAACTCATAAATGTCTTCTATTAGCTTCGTTGCATCATTCGACAAATCAACCGCCTTCTTCTCATCGCACTGTTAATATAAAATTCACAGAGATGTAGAGGCTATAATTATATATAAGCCATTAGGCTTTAATCAGTCATAGAAATAAAGAAATCTCGAAATGCAAAAGCGAGAGATGAGATACATTATTTTTTTCTATTTAAATTCGAGTGCCTAGTCTTGTGTGTGTGTAGAATTTTAATTCATTAATTATAGAAATACATATGTACTCTCGAAAAATTGTAATTTAATATTGAATAATGTCTTCAAAAATGTTTGATGATTAAAAATTCATATTCATTAAAAGTCTAAGATTATTCAATTCTAATGAATAATTTCATGCGAAAGAGAAATAAGAAAGAGATGATACGAGATACTTACTTCAAAGTTTGTACGTAAACCGTACATGTCTCGGTGTATCTCTTTATTGCCGAGCTGTAGCCGTTCTATTTTATCGCGAAGATGGTGTATCCAATTATTCGAATCGGAAACTGTCGACGGTACTTCAGTGTCCGTTTCTATAGTCAGAGCCAATCTGGTTAACCGGTCGTGAGAGGACGTGTCGTCGCAGAAGGAATCCTCTTCCTCCAGGAGGAGCCTTGCCTTTTCGGGATCGCTTTGAAGGTTCTCGAGGATAGCTGTTATTTCATTGATGGTGACATCTCGATCCTATGATAATTTGTTTTGTTTTAATCTAGCAAATCAACTTATTCTAATTGGAAGATTCAAAGAAATAGTCTTCGAAATTCCTCTTTTACATTATTTCAGTAATTCATCAATTATCTTCAGAAATTGATGACATCTTTTGCCCATTGAAGAGTTAACGATTTTCAATTTTAGTACAATTCCGAGTTTAATATAAAGAACGTACGTTTCCAAAACTGACGATAGAATTTCTCGACGCGATCGCCAACTCGTCGCAGAGACACATCGGCGTGCTTCTTGCGTCGCTCTGCGTCTCCAAGCTCCAATCGTTGCTCTGTATACCGGAAGTGTCCTCGAGGGAGAGTGGCCGGCTGATCAGGTCCTTGTAGTTGTCCCCGATAGAATTCAATCTGTCGTAGCTCGACCTGCTGCTGCTGATCGTTCCAGTACTTCGTGCACTGCGATCTCGATCGGCTGAATGATTATCGTCCGATCTCACCGATGCGTTAAAATCCTTGTTAACCCATCGCCCATTTTCAAAAGTGGATGAGGAAATTGCGTGCGTCCTTACATCCGTGATCGGTAAACTCAGGAGCATTGTACCTGCGTTTGTAATTTTGAGTGTATTTTACGCACGTCTATTTCTCTCTGATTGCATTTACTAAATTCTAATAAAGAAGATTAAATAAAAAAAATTGAGACAATATCAGAAAAAGTATTGATAAAGTATTGATAAATAAAGTATTGATTTCTTTACAAGAGCCTAGAAGTCTAGTTATACAATAAAGAAATTTAGCAAAATGAACTGATTTCAATTAATGCTCTTTATTTATATTTTAATATTTTTATGAATGTATCCAAGTTTTTTTATCTTATTTTCGTAGAGGCTTTATTAGTCTTAATATTTTATTACACATAATATTATTTGAAATATTAAATAATTTATTTTAATAATAATTTAATAAAATAAATATTATATCCTAATAATTTTGTGTTCACATTTGACAGGAAGAACATCGATCGAGCTTGAATTCACACGATTGTTCAAATCTTGGAGAGCCACTTCCATTAATGTTCTTCAGTTACTGCCTTGATAAACTCAATTGAGTCTCACCTAGGATCGAAGCTCGACCGCAACAATGCCAGGCAACGGAGTTTTGCAGTCTCACGCTACTCGGCATCTTTCATAGGCGTACAAAGCTACCACGGGGACGTTGGAAACAAAGTAAATCTGATACGCCAAGCAACTCGATTCCGCGCATTGGTAAACCGCGAAACTTTATTAGGTCAGGTCAGGTGCCGGCTTCGCTTGGGACACCGGTTCAAGGGACAAGCAAGCGTATTTCTACCGGCACTTCCTTCAGACAGTTCGCGACAAAAAGAGAATGAGAGAAATACAAAGAGAATTGTTAGATTTTAGACACGTACCAATTTGCCCGGAATCGATGTAACGGTCTGACTGTTTTTGGCAACGGTGAAACTTCCGTTCTCTGCTCTCGTTTTCCGACCTGATTCTCGCTTGGGAGAAGATAAAGGGTCGAGGAGACGGCACGAGTATCCGGTATTCTTGAGATCGGATCAGTCTTTCCGGTGTGTAACAAATGGCTTTGAATTCTTCCCTTAGGTTGTCCTGATTGTCGTCTTCAATCATGGACCAACTATTCTGCGTCGTCAAAAATTATTCTGTTAATTTTTCTGTCATTCGGGTTTTGCTAGCGTGTCGTTGAGGCTCTTTGTACCTTTTTTTTAGAGGTGTGCAAATCTGCTCTCACTCCCGCTCGTTCCCGACAGCGAGACTGGATTCTCGAGACTCAGATTATCGGGAGTATCGGCGCTGTTATCGAGAATAGAGCATCGAGATACGGGACTCGGGACTCGGGACTCGCTCGTTCCCGAGCCTCTATTCTCGATAACAGCGCTCCCGATAATCTGAATCTCGAGAATCCAGTCTCGCTGTCGGGAACGAGCGGGAGTGAGAGCAGATTTACACACCTCTACTTTTTTTATTGTATTAAACATGATTGGTACAGATATAAACAAATGACAAAATTTTATATAATACTTACTGTAATGCTTAGTTTTTTATATATATAAAAAATCATATATAAACTAATTTATATGTAATAAAACAATTAGCTTGTAATTAAATAATATCATAATATATCATTCCTTGCAAGTAATATCGATCACTACATGTTTAGTTCTAATTAAATGAATAATCTTGCGGTCCAATAATTGGATTGGATGTAATCTCGCATAATAAGCCTAATATGTTGACGGGCAAAATAGAAGATGCAAAAAGATGTAAAAATCATTAAAAATCACATTTGCTAGATGAAGAAAATCGTAGAAGTGCAACCACGTGTGCAGCAGAGATTGTGTGTACTGCAAATAAACTAATCCTCATCACAGGGAGAGGACACATGGACAAGAAACTCGACAAGTGCGACACATTAATACACACTGGTATTTCACATACACAGACACATCTGACATTTAACAATATTAATAGTACAATTGCAGGTACGAGAATAGCAGTAATTATGCCTCCGCGAATGTGTGCATCACGTACAAAATTTAAAATATTCCAATAGATATTATATTTTAATAAATGCCATATTTTTTTTATATAATATTGTGTTTTATCATTTTTGTTTAAATTATTTACATCATATCGTTAAATTTTTTGAACAAATATGACTCTTACCATTTCCTCGACGTCTTTCTCGAGATCGGGATCGAGATCGTCCCGCGTGAACGAGCCGAGCTCGATTTTCTCCGAGGAGCTTCCGCTCTCCTGCTCCTGTCTCGCCACATCCTGTACGAAGCTACGGTTGTCCGCCGAATCGTCCGAATCGACGTAGCAAGACATCGGTCCGGATGATCGATGATCCTTGCCGTATTGCAGTACCGCGATTTCAGGATTCAGCCACCAGCCGAAACTCTCCTCCTCCTCGGACGAGGACGAGTCGTACTTTGCGGCGGCGGTGGTGTTTCTTCTTCCATCCAGATGAAACATCACTCGGCAATCCTCGTCGCGACGTTTTCCAATCGACGTGGAGGGCGCGTGCAGATTTTATCACGTCTGCAAGAGGAACGACCGATTGACGTGCGGATGAAATCGAGTTTCGCGTAATTCCCGCAAACACCTGACGCACGCCCGTATTTCGATTTGCGCGAATTTCGATGAATTCTATACGAAATTTCACAGAGATTTGTCGGAATAAATTTTACACGCCTCGATTTGTCAATAACAAATCTCTCTCTTTCTCTTCTTCTCGCGATTCTTCGATGATAAATGCGCCTCCTGACAAGTTTTCGGGTATCGAAGTACCTTATTTCGTTGCACGAAGAAACAAGTAAATAAATAATTACGAGTAAATAATGCAATTCATAATAAAAAAATATACATTTAGAAAATATTATTTCTTGTCAGAATCTGATGTGGTAAATTTTTATTTGAAAAATGTTTGTCTCTCATGAAATACGTAGCCATGAATAAGTGTACTTATTTTCTTGCTTTATGATTAATTTTACGAGCTTTATAATTAATTTTACGATTTTATTTTCTTGACCTACCTATTTGTGATCGTTTTGATTTGACAAACTGTATTTATAAAGCCGGCGAGTCAAAATACAAAACGTGGCATGAATGTGTCTGTACAAAGTCAGTAAAGTATATTATCATAATACATTAAATATTAAATTATATCGTGGAAACCAGCGAAAAGTACGTCTCTTTACAGTTCTAAAGTCATACAAGCGCTTCAACTATCTTTGCTTATCCTTCAACTACGTTAAATATGCGCTTAATGTTGAATATGTTCCGCTGAACAAACAAATTTCGGTCCCTCTCAAGTTTCGCGTAATGCAATTTTACAAAATTCTAACATTCTAACATTCAATAATGCTAATTTATGTGTTTAATTAATAGTATAATTATGTTTAATTAATAGCATAATTATTAATTATATTAGTATAATTATAATGTTATAGTGCAATTATTAATTAATAATAATATATTTAATAATAGTCTAATTATTAATTAATAATTATTATACCTTTACAAGAATAATGAAAAGCAAGAGTTATTATTTGAAAATTGTTCAGTCCTTTTCATTAATTTTTATATATTATAATTTTTATCTAAATACATATATATCCAAAAATACACATTAAAAACATTATTTCTTGTCAGAGAATCTGATAAGATAAATTTTTATTTGAAAAATATTTGTCGCATGAATGTATGCTATGAATAAATGTTTTTACTTTCTTTTCATTATCTACAACATATATCTATCTAACTATATTTTATATTTTTATCGACTACAAAATCCTTTTGTTTTGCCAAAGCTTATTAAAGCTACTTAGTTTCTTGCACTTTTTTCACACACACACACACATATTTTTTCATTATTCTAGTCTAACAAAAAATGCATAAAAATATACGAAATAATCATTATGAGAGAAATATTATCGATATCGCTCTCTTTATTAGTTTCATCCATCATGATAATTACTCATAAAATCTGACCAAATTATTCGACGAGCATAATATCCGACATAATGATCGGTGTTTGTCAAATCACTAAACTCGCGACTGGCTGGTCGATTGACAAATTGAGCTGCGATTTTTGAGATTAAACCTGATTAAAATCACCAAATTGTTATCAAATCGCACGTGGATGTACATGCAATCCGATTGACATCTCTCGACAGAAATAAGAGCGTGATTTTCGAACCGCACTCGAGAATCGTTGCGTGTCACATTCTGCTGCAACGATCGTCGCAATCGGAATCGGCCCGTGCCAATTGACCGCTCAATGCACCGCTCAGTAAGCTGGACTTCGACTAGTTGGGCTGTCCGGCGACCCATATGGTCATCCATTTCCTTGACCACCGGGTTGTCATGGTGACTAATTTAATAATCCGTCATTTGCCGCTCCGTGTCGCACTTATACCACGTCGATATGTGTTGCGATTCGTTGCGGATTGCGATTTCTGCGGGCCCTTTTTCCCTCTCCTTCACTTTTTTTCCCGTCGTATTTCAAAGATCGAGGTTCGTGAATCTCTTCGTTTCTCCATTTTCGATTTTATTCGGGACGAAATTGCACGTCAATCGCAAAATCTGATCGCGCACAACTGCGATTCGATACAAATCCTCGTGAAAAAAAATCCCTCTTCCTCCTCCCTGTCCCTTTTTATCGCGCTCGTAGAAAAAAATGTTGTGTATACATTTTGAAAATCAGCGCTTGATGCTCGCTGAAGTAATTCTCGTCAAACTCGGCTAAAACTCACGCGAACGCGATGAAAAAGAATGGATAACGTATTTTCAACAAATTGTGCGAAAGGCATTTGCATTTCGAGTGTGTAAAATGATCTGGTTGCATAAACAGTCGGGATTAAATGAGGATAAACTTAGGGATTCGACTTTCTCTTTTGAACTATGTGCACGATATAGAAGCAACAAGTTTAATTTTAATTAATTTAAAATTCTCTTGATAAAATTTTAATAAAATAAAATTTGTTATATAACTAACTCAGTTTATATAGTTTCTATCAATTTCTTACTCACTTTAAAAACAAGCATTATTTTGCGGAAAACACAATATTATTGAGCTGGCACATGCACTGCAGCAAACCTTAATCAAAACCAGGGTCGCTCTTTGAGGAATTTTTTTTATGTTGATTTAAGTTTAACTAGGTGCTTTCGCCTCTACACTTATCTCGGAATATCGCGCTTTTATCGATCTTACACGTTGTTATTTATTGGGATCGAGTGCCATTTGGCAAATACGCGACGAGTGTGTATGCGATCCCGACGATTCTCGCCGACTGACACAAAATGACGTGTCTACAGGCTCTGTACTCACGATAACTCGTTGACCCGTGTGTGTACCATGATAATTTCAACCGTGTCGAGTATCGACTGTTCGACGTATAATCGTACATTGCCACGATGTTGCTAAACAGATAGAAGCGGTGAGAGACTCGTATATATACAGATAAGTGCTGCTATCAAAACGCACGAATTAATTCTCGCAGAAATTATATTGTAGACAGAATATTTATAACAGAAACATTTTTAAAAATTCGCAATTGTTATATTTTCCTTTTTTTTGGGGGAGAATATGCATGAGCTTTTGCGAACTCAGAATCATTTAATGACTTAATTTAATTTGTAATAATATAAAAGAGCATGTCCCTTTTTTCAAAAATGGTAAAAAATAGTTGCTTCTGCTTAAATTTATTTCCATCAAGACGAGAATGAAACTTCGGTGATTTATGTGCAAAAGATAAATTACTTATAATTTGTTAAAATTACTTATAATTTAAAAAAACATACTTATAAAATTACTTATAATTTGTTACTCAAAGGTGCAATTATTAAGAAAGCAGAAATATAATTACTCATCACGATAACTTTCCCTAAAAGCGCAAAGAGATTTATCTCTCCCAATAATATTCTAAATACAACATGCCTCAAGTTCCCTTGATATCTATTCGAATAACGTGCAAAAATTTAGAAGATCTTTGAGAGATTAAACTCAATTAGTTTAGATTGCCATCACACAAACGCACATGTCATTCGCGCCAAACACGAGGCTTGCAAGGGACTCGCGATTAAATACGAGGTACATACATACCGTTACATCACGGTTTGGTTGCATTGATTAATGACGTGGACAGCGTGCAATGTAAATATTCGATTATTCTAATTCACCGAGTATTAATTCCATCGACACGAGAAAAGTCGCGACCGTTCAATCACTATTAATGCACTATCTGATTATCTTATCATTTCTCCTATTTGAAACGAGACAATAAGCGATTTCATCATCATTTTCTCCTTCATTGATTTCAATTGATCGATCGACAAAATTTCTCAACATCTCTATTTCGCTATCTCTATTTTTTTTCATCGTAAGATATTACGATCGTGTTTATGGGAAACGCAACGAGGTTGTTAATCGTTGACAATTCATCCTCGAAAAAAATCGGTAATTCGAGTTTGTAGTAAGATGTAAATCAATACATAAAATCGTTTCAAATAATTGTTACATTAAAACAATTAATTCTGAAAAGTAGATGAGGTTACAATATGGATGCATCGACTTGTATAAACAAATTAAATTTAATTTTGTAGAAATAAATTATATATTAATGTGAATTAAAAATTCAAATAGATGTTCAATAAATTTTTTGACATTATAAAATTTGACGTATGATTTATTGCTTTATCTGAAAATTCTTAATTCGAATAAATAGCTGCTCCAAAGCACCCATTTGAATTTTTAATTCACATTAATATGTAAATTTCTGCAAAATTAAATTTAATTCGTTTATCGTTTATTTACCGTGCTGAAGAAATCAAATTTAGATAAGCTGACAGGTCGTATGTCAAAAAAGTATACCGCTCGTGTTTGAACGAGAAACGCGCTGATACGGCTTTACCATCGCGAAGCAGATTGCCTTGCAGAATAAACTGTCTTCCGATCAATCAGCTTGTAGTCTAGGGGTACGATTAAAAGGGTACTAATCTACAGATGTGTACGCGTGGGTATTCGAGACTACATGCTGATTTTCATTTTTTTCCGGGAGATTTTTACGGTCAAAGTTCAACCGACGCGACAGCGAGCGACCGGCAAAAGAGGCGGATTTTCGGCCATGTTTCGGGACGAATATTAATCAGAGTGACGTCGACAGGCCTTGATCGAGGGAAAAAAAATGATCGCGCATCGGCGATAACGTTATCGATGTTGGCGAACGTCGCTGCACTCGCTATCAGGTGTAACGATGCATCTTCGCGTGGCTTGAGCAGCTGAGATCGAGTGTCATTACCAAGAAAAGTCTGCAAAATCTCATTCTGATGGTCTGCAAATTTTTCAGACATCTTGTGTGTAAAACGTCATTAAAAATTTAATAACGACAACAATATTAAATTATGTAAAAATGATTTAAATATTTAAACAACAAATTTATTTGTACATTATAAAAGCATGAAAAGTTAAATTAGAGAATTAGAGATTATTGAGAGAAATATTTATATCAATTTTTAAAATTATGATGAATTTAAAATAAAAGTGAGAATTTAAATTTTATGATTCTAAAATAATAACGAGAAAAAATGCTTGAATTTGCGACTATTTTCGGACGTTGAACTTTTAATTTACTATTTAATTACGTTCTTTACTGACAAGAGAGAGACAAATATACTCTATCCAACTCAAGCTTGTTGCAGTAGTATATCCTAAATTAATCACATGAAACACATCTGAATCTATTACGATGATTCGAATTGATGTGCAACGTCACCCGGTATACAGTTTCTAATCACAGTCACCTTGTAATCCTGATCGGCTAACATTGTCTTATCAAAGAAAGCTCGATTTTTCTTGCAGCGATAAGATGAATCGGATACGATTCGTGCATCTTTGCGGGAGCAAAAATCGCGAATGCGCATTTAAACGCGATTAAAACGGAAATGAGAAAGAAAAAAATCGAGTATTATTAAATTACACGGCAAAGAATTCTGAAATTACATCGATGTTGTTAGATAATATCATCGACCACCTCTCGATACAATGTTTGAGATCACGAATTACTTTTCTTGATTAATCAGTCACTCGATAACTTATTACATATAGTCGTTCCGATACGATCACGCAATGGATATTTGATATAAATAAAACTGGTTACGTTTATTTATCAAACGTAGTTTAGATAGAATCAGCATGCTATTACGAACACCATTTTTGACATTAAAATAAATATATAAAAATAAAAAAAAATAAAAAAAACGTAGATGGAAAAAGTTTTATGCAATATAAATGATATGAAATTAAATTAAAAATTAATAATTAAAATAAAAATTAATTTAATTGTCACAATTGATTTTAAAAAATGTATTCTCTTTTACAATAAAAACTGGAACAAAGACATTAGAATATTTATATTATATTATAAAAATTATGCATTTGTTTTATTGCTTAACGATTATACATTTTTTTAAGCATCAAAAAGATATAAATTTAAATAATTATAATATTTTTTATAAAATATAATACTATTGAATATAATAATATATTATTAAATATAATATATAAATATTAAATATATAAGTAGATAATATATGATATATAAATATATATTGAATATATAATATTATTATGAATATATAATATGAATTGAATATATAATATTATTGAATAAAAATATCTCAATCTGATTTCTCTTATATGTTAGTATGATTGCAAAAATTGTTATAATTTTTACTATATTTTCTCCCTGGTATAAGAAGTGTAAAAAACTTATTTGAGCTAAAATTGTGCTGATGAGATACATTCGTGTTATCGTTCGATCGCGCATTCTCTTTTTTTATATTGAATAATATGCAAATTATCTTTCATTCTCTCTCTGAAAGGATTCGTATTGTCTGTCGCTCTTGTGCGAGACCCCGATTTCAATAGCAATTGCATCGCCGGAAACGAGAAATTCCTCGTGCCATTCTATTAGACAGATTCACATTTTTCTATTGTGCCAGATTCCGCGTCCTGCGTGACATTTCGACTTTATACGTCCGATGCATCGAATCCTTTCGGCGCGCGCGATAAATAGATTTTCGCGGAGATAAAATTTCCATGGTGAATTCGCTCGGCGCACTCATGGAAATGACATTAAGTACATTAAACGTGCGAAAAAGCAAATATATTCGACTGTCGACTTACTTTAAGCAGCAATTAACGAAGTGAAAGAGGATGCACATGTTCCCATCGGTACTCGAGGTTACGTAATAATTCCAAGACAAAGACTCGAGGGTGTAAATTCGAAAACCGAGCTTATTTCCAAGTAAATCTACGAAAGTCCCGTTCTCATCGAGCGAGCAAGGAACACGGAAGCCGGAATACATCAGATTCCCCGCGTCATGTGTTCAAATCTCGAAAAGAATCCCCTCGGATTCCTCGTCAATCGACGTGTACATATGTACGTGCGTGTTTCTAATTTTCCCTCTATCGCGAGCGTCCCCCGATCCACCCACTTTCCTCCCTCGCGCCCCAAAAGTTCGCGCCCGACGCTCTCGCGTTCGAAATGTCAAAATTCGAACGCGAGCGGCGCATGCGCAGCGAGATGGCGCTGGCGCGCGTCGCGGGTCGGCGAGTTCTCGGACGCGGGGGTGGCGATGGGTGTTCGTCGGCGGCGGTAAAATCGATAGCGGCGCGGCGGATAGTGCGCGAACATCGTGAGCGACGCTCGTCGTCGTCGACGCCGTCATCGTCGTCGTCGTCGTCGTCGTCGTCGTCCAAGTGTCGGAGTCGAGCGTCAACCGGAGCCCCCAGTCCAGAATCCTCCATCCAGTCGACCGGATGCCGATTACGCGAGCGCGTTCGCCGGTAGTCGAGCGTCGTTCGCGGTAGTCTCCGTGTGCGCGATTATCACAGAATACCGTATATACACATATATATACACGTATCGAGTAGTAGCGTAGGTTCTACGATAGCAATATCGTACGCCGGTCCCCAGGTGCGCCAAGGAGCGGGCCAGGAAACGTAAGGTGCCGACGCGAGCGGACGCGCGAGCCGCGCGCGTCCGCGCGGAGGTTATGTGTCGCGGCGGCGCGTCCCCTGCGGCGCCGAGTACGCGGAGGAAGCCGGGGTCCGCGGTCCGCGGAGCCGCGAGTGACGACGAGGCGACGCGCTGAGGCGCGCGGACATGTCGGCGATGTCGTGGGGCACGGCCGCGGCCGGCCCGTGGCGTAGAAAAACGCGCGCTCCCCTGCCGCTGCTCTTGTTGCTGCTGCCGCTGGTCGTCCTGGGCCTGCTGTCGGACCCCGTCGTCGCCGAGAGGAGCAAGAAGTGTGAGTAATTTGCTTCTTCTTTCCTGCTCTTTCTTCTTCTTTTCTTCTTCTTCTCTCCTAGAGAGTCATCGGGGCGCTTTTTCGCGATGGAAAAGTGTCCGCGCGTCCTGAATTTTTGACAGCTACTCTCTGTCACGTGGCGATCAGGTGTCTTTAAATGTCATCGATCTTGCGCCCCGTTTGACGATTTACACTCGGGTACACTCGGGATTCAGCGTATGTCACGTGCGACGATTTTAAGGATTCTAAATATTTTATTATTGTAGTTTATTATTCTCAATATTTTATATATATATATATATTTATAATAATTAAATATATTTACTTGATTCGAATTCTGCATAATTTCAATTATTGTTTGCTCCAGAAATAGTATTTTGATTTATAATATTCGCGGTATAAAAATAAAACGTGTATTTTATATTTGTTATTAACATGGACAAAAATATTAAACTCGAAAAGTGTAATATTAAAAATCTCGGAATTACAATGTTGTGTAAACGGAATCTGGTGATAAGTTACCTTGTACATACAAAGAATCTTCGAATTTAAAGATACTTGTTTCTTTCTAATATCTTTTACTTCTTTTACTTGATACACGACAATATTATGCAATGCGTTATATATGTACTTTGTAAGGCCCGTTCTACAATGAGTCGTAAGTCGTAAATCGTAGGCAAATTGATCAATCGTGGTTGATTATTTCAAAAATAATCATGGTTGATTATTTAAAAAATAAAATAAAATGGTTGATTATTTTAAAAATAAAATGGTTGATTATTTTAAAAATAATCAACCATGATTGGTCAATTTGCCTACGACTTATGACTTACGATTCATTGTAGAATGGTAGAATTGTCTAAGAACACAGTACCAGAATAGATGGACTAGAGACGCTCATGAGAGAATGATTTTTATTTCACACCCGTAAATCGATCTTTCGGCGAGTCGAGAATAATTTTTATTTCACACTCGTATATCGATCTTTCCGGGTTTTGTGACGCGCGCCTCATTCATAATACGACTGAGCGTAGTACGCGCGTAGTAGTATGTTTACTACGCTGTGCGTACTCCCTCCTGCCTCCCGCCCCCTCCTCGCTCTTCTTGCGCAACGCGTGCGCTCGACTAAAAAAGAATGAACGCGACAATCTCATCGCCGATCAATATGATCTTCGACATCTATGTGTGAAAGATAGTCAAAAAATTAAAAAGAAAATGCCAACGCGCGGTAGTTGGAGCGCAGAGAAGCAACAACACTTCTTTCTTTTTTCAATATTAGTTTATTAAAAAACACATTATAATAATAAAAAGCGAACGTTTCGGATCTTTTGATTCTTTTTCAGCGCGATGTTAACAATATATATTACAGATAGTGACGCGTTACATTAAACGAATTTATTCTCGACGCGTAGGCGACGCTAAATTGCATCCCGCGGAGGTTTAGCAAGCGCTCTGCTTCCAACAGTCTCAATTAAATACTATAGTATCTATACTACTATACTATAGTAAAATTTTATTCGATTTGTTAGATCTATGATGCAGCATAACTATAGTACATGTTTAATTAACTGTTGGAAGCAGAGCGCTTACTAGACCTCCGCGGGATGCAATTCGCTTTTTGTTATTATAATGTGTTTTTTAATAAACTAATATTGAAAAAAGAAAGAAGTGTTGTTGGTTCTCTGCGCTCCAACTACCGCGCATTGGCTCTTATGCCATTTTCTTTTTAATTTTTTAATTTATATTTCGAATATTTTCGAAAAATCATGCTTCCCTCGAGCTGAAAATGTCTGTAATCAAAAGTTACGTTATCTCTTGTAGACTAAAAAATTGAGACAAATTGAAGAGGGAACATTTTTCACTTGTGAAGAAATGATGATTTATTATGTTTGCCAAGGATGTAAGCAGCTCATTTTTGTTGCGCATTTTGATTTTACAATCTTACAAGAATTTATTACGATCCACGAGTGTTATAAATATATGAAAAATTTCAAAAATATATAAAATGGAATTTGTACTCCTTGGAGAAAGGAAAAGCAATATTATCATTTAAACCTAATTTTCTTTCTACATTTTCTCACGTTGTTCCTGTTCAAGAAAAGGCATTAATTATTCTTTCAAATCTGATAAATTGAAATACGATTCTTTCAATAATCCAATAATAATCGGTTTTGCTTCATAAGCAGCTTACGTAACGTAGCTTCTCTCCTTTGAAATTCATCAGAGATCACCTGTTAAGTGCTCGAGAAATAAAACATGGTGATTAAACGTACGTTTATCGTCTGCCGAAGCCTGAGCGAAAAACTTAGGAATACTCGATCCGGAAAGGTCCCAGGAAAAAAGTTAAATTAACCCCAACTTTAATCGAAGCGGTATAATCGACGGCGCACGTAAAATCCTATCTTTTTGATGAAATTGCCTCGTTATCCGAAGTTCGTGAGTGGAAGGGCTGGGCCTCTGCGGATACGGTTAAAGAGAACAGTACGTCGTTAACCTCCGCTAGACACGCTCGTTAACATAACTCACGAATCGCATTTTTGCCATTAACCACCATCGAGCCTCATCTGCCCGACGTAAAATATTTTCGCAAGAAATAGCGGGGAATTTCGAAAAAGGGGAAAAAAGGAGAAGAAACTTTCAACTCGTGGAAATTTAAAAAATTTCATCTCCGTCCTCTCGTATATTCATATTCATATCCGCAATTACTTATATGTAAAATGCACCAACCGAAGCCAGATCACGTGTACTAAAAATTTTATTACGCGCGTCTATTTTCCAAGACCTGGAATAATATTGCGATGAAGTTTAGGGAATATTAAGGCTGCGGTGAAGTTTCCATGCATAAGTTAAATTAGCACACTTTGAATTTCATTGTGCGTGATTCATGGGATTTCGATATTTACTTCGGAATTACACTGTAAGAAATTATTACAGGATTACACGAACAATGAATGTAATTTTATGATACTGATTTTTTTTCGCAGTGTGCTTTATTGAAATCGGAAGCCTAATATTTTTAATCATTTTTAAAAATTATTACGATTGCGAAATAAATCATTAACAATTGCAATTGCGAATTCTCTCTCTCGCAGCAATTTATATGCATTATCCATATCGCGTTTCATATAACGCATATATTCCCGAGTAACTTGTACGTTTTTCTTAATGAACCCCAATCGACCGTCGGATGTTCCTGTCGCCCCTTAGCATCCCATTTTTCTCGGGAGGATTGTTTTTGTTAATCTCCGCTTCAGGGGGAATGTCTGACTCCCTTTTTCCCGAGACACAATAAACTTTCTCTTTTTTCCACCATCCGCTTCGCTTTTATACGCGTTTCACTTCGCGATTCGCACAATGCTCCTCTTCGTTACACAAAATTTCTCGCGAAAATTACCATTCACGTCCGTCTGCGCGGATGAAGTAATAAACGAAAGTAGTAAAAGGTTCTTTCCATTATATCCCGGACGTTAGATTTCGGTACCGCGTCCCAAAATATCGGCGCCTCTCTCTTTCTCCCTCTCTCTGTCTTTTACTACTCGCTCCGTGATCTTGATGAATTTTTTTCATCCTCGTAAATTTTTGTCGTCCCCTCGAAATTCTACCTCGAAGCTCCAATTCCGCTCACCCTTACGACGCCTCGCGTACATTAGCGGCACGTTTGGCTTTGACAAATCGACACTCGACGGATCTTTTGTGGAACGCGGTGACACGCGACGTTCAAGCGTATCGATTGTCCTTGTTATCGCGCGAAATAAATCGGCGCCTTTGGCGCGCGTTCGCGCGACAAGATTACCGTAGTGACGCCGCGAGGCAGCTTGACGAAGTATCGGCACGCGAAAATTGCGGTAATCACCGGCCAAGTTACAACGAGAGCAACGTTAATTGTTTGCACCGGCGGCGGGATTACGCCCGCGCTTCATCGTGACATCGCCCGGGAACCGAACGCGGCGGCGTTCGATAAACGAAGCTAATTACGACAGTCGAATTAGCTCGGGCGACGCGCATGATCGATCGGCCGATCGATCGATCGATCGATCGGTCGGTTCGCGGGTGGACGACTGATTCGAGCGCGTCACGTTCCACCGTCCTTCGCGCGATCATTTGCGCCTGATTGCCTCGCTTATAAAAGTCATCCATAAGCCGGATGAATGCCGTGGACGCGATCAAAATGTACGTTTTTCTCTCTCTCTCTCTCTCTCTTTCTTTTCTTCTCATACCTTATTCTTTTTTTTTTTTTAGCACAACCGTCGTTCGGTGACGGTTCTTTTGACGCGCGAGTTTAGAAAAAAATAGAAAGCCACAATTCGTTGTAACAAGATTGAATTAATAAATCACGGAGGGCATCATCGGATCGTATTTCGCAAAACGAGAGCAACTAACGTTATTTTCTTTTATGATGGTGATTCTGTTTTGCTGTTTGACACAATATGCGATGCAGATGTGAAAACTTCATATTCACGGAGCTTTGTACGCGTAATTTTTTTTATTTTTTTTATTTTTTCGGGAATATTGCTCTCTGCATCTAAAAATCCATATATACTCCCGAATATATTGTGAAATATATAACGATATTTCGACGCGAATGTTGCCCTCCGTAGGCAAATTCTCCATCCATTGCCACTGTGTGTTGCCATATCGATTTTATTTTTCATCATGGGCAATTTCAAGGGAATAGCTTCTTCTTCTCCATTGTTTTGTGATATTTGGCGGATATTTAGAGTATTATATATATATATTTATCTGCCAGATTTTTTTATTCAACTGTATTATATTTGCATTTAAAATATACATGTATATGTGGACATTTATTTGAAATAATAAATTTTACGATTTCGGACGCAATATTTTTAAAACAGTAAATTAATGTTCTTTTTCTATATCGTCACTTTTTCGTGAATATTTTTTATTCGATTAGAAAGATAATTAAAATATTAAAAAAAAATAAATGAAATAAATGACATCATTTTTTGAATTCATATTTTTTCAATTAATAATGCATT